ACTGCCAGACAAGTATTTCACCATCCCACACGTCTCTTCTATCTTGCGCCTAGGGGCTGTGAAATTAGTGAAACTCTAAACTGCCAATACTGCGATGAATAGAGTTCACTTTTATAAGTTGTTAAAAGATTGATCTAATTTATCTGCAACTGTTGATTCATTTTTGTTAAATTTTGCAAATATGTCTTATATGTTATCAATGTTGCGTTTGATGCCTTTTAGAGTCAGCTCCATAAGAAGAATTCGTGGCAATAAGCGTCAGAATGGCGTCAGCAAAGTCGTAATTCTTCTCAACACAGAGCGTCATAAATAGTCAATGAGAGTGTGAGCTTACATTTAGTCCACTGCTCTCATGACGGTCTTCGAGTTGGCGGTGAACGGCACAAACAATAATAAAGACATCTGACCATACCCAATACCCAATGGTTGCAGCCAGTCGTTCCATCAGTTGCAAGAGTAGGCTGTTGATTGTTACTTTCGAGTCATTTCAAAACTCCCCATAAACACTAAAAGGAGACACCGCAACTCATTTTTTTCAAATAGCATTTCGTTCCTTGATCCTAACTTTTTTGATATTTCACAAAACGGGAAAAAGCTATTTAAAAAAAAAAAAAAAAGATAAAAAAAAAGAGAACTACTGGAGTAAACAGATGTGAGATGACAGGGTTTCTTTCTGAACATGGACGAGGGCTGAAAGCTGTCTGAACATAGACGAGGGCTGAAAGAGTAGACCGTAGTTACAGAAGCGTGGCGAGGGGGGGCAGATGTCCCCGGGCGCAAGCTAGTTAGGGGCGCCAAAATGTGCTTGGATATTATATTATTGGTAAAAATAATGGGTTTGAGCGGTGAAAAAAAGAAAAGGGGGCGCCTTGAAATGGATCTTGTCCCCGGGCGCGAATCTTGTCCCCGGGTGCCAAACACCCTCGCTACGCCTCTGCGTAGTTAGACAGGGTTTCTGTCTTGCATGGACGAGGGCTGAAAGCTGTCTGAACATAGACGAGGGCTGAAAGCTGTCTGAACATGGACGAGGGCTGAAAGAGTATACTGTAAATTGCAGACAGGGTTTCTGTCTTACATGGAACAGGGGCAAGGGATATGAGAGGGTGTGGGGGAGTGGGGCGGGCTCAGCAATCTGTGTTGAATATTTTTATGAATTTTTCATGTTATTGCATTGTCGCCAGTTGGGGCGGGGGGGGGGGCCTCAGTGGCAACTCTGCTGGTGTGAAGGGGTGACCACTCTGGGCGGTTTTATATATATAGCATATTATAAATGGTGGGCGTACGTGTTGTGGAGCACTAATTTAGGGTACGCCCAGGGCGGCATCGCGTCAAGGTAGGCCCCTGGGTGGCTTTGTTGTGACCAACCCATCAGGGTGTGCACACTCTACCCAGTTTAGTGGTTGATCACGCATAACGGAGGTTTGTCGACAATCTGCCAGCTTGGGGTTCTATGAACAAGTGCATCGTGCGTGAGACATCAACCAACACACATTGAAACTTCAACTATTTTTTAAGGCCAGTAATCGAAAGAAATTAAATCACTGGACACGTCTTCTATGAGCATATATTCGTAGCTGAAACAACAGACTCTTTGCAGTCATAGCAACGAGACCTCCCTATGCGGTGCTTGCAAATAGGAGTGATTTGATTTATTCCATTAATGGAACAGGGGCAAGCCGAGGTAATCAAACGCAATGCCTGGTGCCCCCCCCCACCCCCAATAGTGCAAACGGCAAACAGTGAATTCGGGCTGCAATGGCTTCCCTTGAGGGAGTCGTTGTTAAATGAAACTATCAAAGTAAAGGAAGTATCAGCGTTCCCAGGATGAGACGGCCACTAAAGCCTTTTGTACGATGCCATCTATGACTATTTTGGTTCATACCAATAGGCCAATTTTAAAAAATGCATCACTTCATGTTCCACATTCAACAACACAAAGACACACACAGCATACACAAAGTTAAACAACACAAAGACACACACAGCATACACAAAGTAGTGCGTCGCGATCTCAGTCACATCGTGGATCAAGGAAAATCTAATCCTGCGACACGCCCTTTTTGTAAGTGTAACCCGACAGGAGTAAGGGAGAAGAATTCTGTGACACTGTGATTGTTCATGTACAAATATTTCACTTTGCATTCTGCTAAAGCAGTAGATTTTTCAACATGTTCTACTCACGTAAAAAAATCCATTTTGGCATTTGTTTTAAAATATTCTTGTGTCTGACTGTGAATTGCTGTATTTGGTATATGGGCAGAGCCCGTGGCTTTTTAAGCCTCTCCCCTCCCCGGGGCCACTTTTTGGTCTTTCCCTCCTGCATTCAAAGTTGCTAAAAAAAAAAGTTTTTTCCCACCCAACAAGTTTGAGGCCCTTAAATATGTGAGGCCCCCTGCATATACAGCTATTATGTATGTATATAAAGAGATGGAGGGATATATGATGTAAGGATGGAGCGAAGGAGGGGGTAAATATCGGAGAAGGATAACAGATTTATATATATATATATATATTTATTTAATATATAACATGACATTGATAGGCACCTGTTTATACGTATTTCAGAGATTAAACTAATTTAATCAGCAATTATAAACGAAGGAATCTGTTAATGTTAAGGAATCAAAGTTATTCTGCTCAAATTCAAAGCACAGAAATTATCCCTGTAAGTAACAGCTGTAGAAATCTATAGCCTCAATAATTTCTTTTACTTTTAGTTTTGTAAATAGTAAATAAAAGTTGTAAATATAATATTATACCTAAATAATAAAACTTTGTGGAAAAAATATTTTCATATTTCCTAAAAATTTTCAATTTAAAAGAATCAGAAACCGTTTTTTGTTTTTTTTTAATTTTCATTTTTAATAATTTTTTGCAAGTTTAATTATGAATGACACGCCTATTTTATTACATAGCACATAAGTGTTGGGTGAAGAAACGAAACGAAATAAGTACATTACCTCCATAGTCCTGTTTCAATAAATTCCAAGGCAAATGTGTTTACTCAAATTCCTCACAATCCTTTTTATTCGCTATCAAAAGCAAAGCATTCCACGCTGCTAAAAGGACGACGTTCTTGATAAGCGGTGAATGATTTCTGAGCAGTTCGTCTGCATCTCTCTCTCTCTCAGATAAAAACTTGGATCAGCGCCATCTACTGAGTTTCGGAGTCTGGTCGATGCAAGGGGGAATTCATTACTAATTATTATCTATTTTAGAATAGTATAAATTTAGATAATCTAAATGGACTTAATTATTTTTATTAAATATTTGAAACATTTTCTAAAAGTATTCAATGCTGTAACTTTAATTATTTTCTTGAAATAAATTTATTGCGAGTAAAATTTTCAAATTTACTTTAAAATCCTATCCATCATTTACCAATATTAACGAAATAGTTTCACAATGGCGGAACAAGATGATGTGAAAGCACAGGTACCTTAATCGTTACTGTTTAAGAAACATCAAGATTTATACATTATTATAAAATTCTAGGAATATTTAAAGATGCTTTAAAATTATTTATTTTACAAATATGATTGTGGCATGTTAATTAGGCCTAAAAAAAAAGCCTAATGATAATCACATTCATTAGTTTTATTCATAATGATAATGATACTAACTAACTTGACTTCACTTAGACTTAGTAACTTATCGTAGTGGTAGTAATAGTAGTGGGATATTGACATTATAGAGCTGAATTGAGCATTAGACTAATTTTTTTATCAATAAGCCTGCTGTGCTAACTAGTAACTAGGCCAACACTCATTCTTTCAGTCTGTGACATGAGTACGGTACTTGAAAATGTACTGTAGTCTCCTAGTGACCATATGCCATATGTTCATTTTAATTTTAAGAATGATAAACGATGTAACTCTTTAACTAACTTAAACATATGCATTGTTTTTGTTATGTTTTTTAATGTTTTTCGATGTAAAGAGGTGACGAAAATACTAAAAATTACTATTCTAAAGGACTCAAACTAGAGTAGGTTTATGATAATGTAAATGATTCAAAGTATTATTATTATTGTGTTTTGAAAAGGATTGAAATAAAGCAAATACATAATGATAGTGACGATCGATTGACTTCAACTTCTAGTGCTATCAATGTGTGCTATGGGAATAAAAGAAACAACACAAGGTCTAGCCCATAGTCCTAGCCTTGGCTATTATGAAAAATCAGGGTCCTAAAATGACCTTTTACTCTGACATTTTACAACATTTCTAAGACAATTTTATCTATGTGATACATTTTATAATACTTATGGACTACTAACAGACAAATTTAGATTGAAATAAATAAAATTTATTTAATTTTATAATCATTTGATTTGTTTTGCTTGTGTGTCAGTTTGTAGACAGGAGCCCAGGGGCATGGGTATTTTAGGCCAAGGGTTCAAGGGGTTAATGAATTTTTCAAGCAGACATGACTTAAAAATATGATATTTTATGTTTTACATTCAGTAAGTTAAATTTAAAAGGAACTATAGATTATATTTTATTTAATTAGATGTACTTTAAGATATATATATATATATATATTTGTAGGCACATGACAGGGAAAGGAACTTCAATTTTTAATTCTGTTTTCCTTAAAATATATTTACTTTTTTCACCTGTACTATTGCATTCATGAGGATTTTTGGGGCTCCTTAAATAAAGGAAAAATAATGAAGACATCAACTAACCCTAACGCAGCACATCCTTAACTAGGTCTCTAAAAATACCTCTTTGCTAATATTGTAAGATATTGTATGGCCGTAAAATCATTATTTAAATGTTGGGATTTTCATCTTTTTTTTTTATTTTTCGGCACACCAATTATGTAAATTTAAGCTTAACCAGTGAACAATTTTAGACTTGCACATTTGAAAAGGCAGGGAATGAACTCGAAAATGGAAATATTTTTATTTGATAATATGAAAATATAGTTCCTTATTTTATACAATATTTTAAATTACACCGACCATTTAAATGTATCTGATGCTTTATATTTATAGGATAAAAAAAATAGTGATGAGACTGAGAAAAAAGTTGTCATTCCAAATTCTGCTCCAGTAAATGGTCGCCCAAAGAAAGGTAAAGTAATTTTAAAATTATAAATAAAATTATATTCTGTAATTGTTCTCTAATACTGCAACCTATTTTCATGAGGTCATTCTAAATATAATTTGTATGAAACATACTTTTTTAGCTTCAGTAGATTATGTTATTCTCCTGCATATTAATATTAGAAAATAAATAATTTGAAATGTTAAAATCTTTGCTTAAATAGTTCTATTTAAATTTTTTATTGTAACTTTTTTTTTCAAAGCACCTGAAATTCCAGTATTTGAAAGACGCAATTGGTTAATCCATCTTCATTATGTGAGAAAAGAATTTGAAACATGCAAAGGTCTGATTCGAGAACAACTTGCTGAGTCTGGTGGCATGTGTGAATATGCTCTTTATGTTCAAGGTTAATTTTGTGGTTGTTGTTATTACTTTTACAATTTACTAAATAGCTTTCTGAAGTAAAAAATACAGATAACATTCTGGAAAGAAAGTTCAGACATGTAAAGGGAATATTAAGAATAGGATATGGGACATTTTGAAATGTAGAGTAAAACAATGACGTTTAACATACGATTTTGAATAAAATAAAACATTTAGATTTTCAAAAAATGTTAAATGTCAGGATATCACAGAACTGAAATGGATGTAGTATTGGTTTCTAAACTCCAAAAGGTTTGATTCTGCGACAAGAAGGCAAGATACAGGAATCATTTGATATGTTCCAGACTTGCACTGTACTTAACTTGCAGAACCCAGAAAATCTCAAACAAATGGCTCGATCATTGTAAGTCCGCAGTGTTCATTTGATCTTTATTTTCCAGTGATCTTTAAAACCTATACCCATGAACTTTTAGCTCTCAGACGAATGTTTGCTTTGTCATTTCACATGTACTTAGTCAGTTTTGACGACTAAATTTTTTCTTAAATATAATATGAAACTGTCATGGATATCTGTTGAAAATCTTTAATGCATTAATTTTAATTGTTGTTTTTTTTTAATATTATTTTTCCAATGTAGGCCATCAAGTTAGCCTTCTTTAAAATTAAGATCTATTAACCTACAGCAATCTAATTGCCACAATTGAATTTAAAATAACATGCTTCACCAAATTTGACCCAGGATTTTAACATTGTTTAAATTTTATCAAGCTAAGTTCTGTATCCTATCTAGCTCTGGTCTGTATCCTATCAAGCTGTGTTCTGTATCCTATCAAGCTGTGTTCTTTAACCTATCAAGCTGTGTTCTGTATCCTATCAAGCTGTGTTTTGTATCCTATCAAGCTGTGTTATGTATCCTATCTGGCTGTGATATGTATCCTATTAAGCTCTGTTCTGTATCCCAAGATTCCTACTGGCCAGACACAAGGCTGCCATTGATGTTTACAATCAAGCTGCCACTATCAGTGAAAAAGACTGGGTTTGTATTTGTGTCTACCACCTTAAGAAAGTCATGATTTAATTTTAAGAAAAAAAATGTTGAAATTTCAAATAAGAGGAAAATGTATAGATTATACTTGTCACATTTATTGGAAATTCTAAAGAATATTATGATAGAAACATTTTAATCTTTTTACTTGTTGCATTTTTAAGTAATTTAGTTGGTTTAAAAGTTTTTGTTTTATAAATTTTAGTTTGAAAAAACTAACAACTCTTAATTTTTGCAGGAGATTTTTCACAATCTAGGAGTCTGCTACATGTACCTCAGAGAGTACACTAAGGTTAGTTTCATTGATAGATACATTTCCTTGCTGCTTATGTTTAGGTAACATTACCTTGCTGTTACTGCTATATGTTGCTTGGCAAAGAAAGGGCAGTTTTTTATGAGGTGAAGAGAACTTTCTAATGAGACAAAAGAGATATTTCTGCACCCTACCTAATCCTTTATGTTGTTTCATAAGAGTTTATGCAGTTTACAAAAAGTTATTATTTTGGTACATATTAAAAGTGATTCATGAAGGAAAACTCCATAAATTTCCTGATGAATAAACTCGAACCAGTTAGCACCCCCCCCCCCCCCCCCCCCCCCAAAAAAAAAAACAGTAACCAACTCTCAATATTCCATCCATTCCTGTGGTGCTACAGCCCATGTAGAGCTTTGGCCTGCCTCACCATTTTCGTTCCACTCAGACCTAACTAAAACTTTTCTTTTCCATGCTTGTATTCCCAGCTGCTGTAGATCTTTTTCCACATTTCTGCATCTGTCTAAGTCTAATTCTGCCTTTGAGCCATTTTCTTCTGGGGTTTTGGTGGTGCACCCTCTTCACTCCTCTGTCATTTGGCATTCTTTCTAAGTGTCCCGCCCCAATGTCTGCTACTACCATGGGATCCTGATATAGACTATAAAATTTCTGTTTGGTTCAACATTACTATACTAATTATTGATTGTGGATAAAGATGGCTAAAATTCTTCCATTACATTATAAACTAACCAACCCACAAAAGTAGGTCTTGTAGTAAAAATATGTCTGGTCAAATTGTGTGACATGTTTGAATAGCAGTCATCACAACACCATGTTTTAAAAGCTAGATATCAAATGCAGGGAAACATAATGTATGTGTGTGAGTGTACGGCAATACAAAGAGATGATGATAATTAATGAGGTTATTACTGATTAATAAGTGTCATGATGTACAAGAATGATGTCGTGACTATAAATAGAGCTAATATGTCATGTGCGGCAAAAAAATTGTTGTTGCAGGCTAAAGATTGTCTAAAGCAGGAATTGATGCCATGATTGTTATTGCAGGCTAAGGATTGTTGAAATCAGGTATTGATGCTGTGATTGTTGTTGCAGGCTAAAGATTGTCTAAAGCAGGCATTGAGCCTCCGTCGCCATGAGGTGTCCTTCATTATGCTGGGTAAAATTTATCTCTTGGAGAGAGACATCAATGCTGCCATAGACACTTACAGAAGTGCTGTTGAGTGAGTATTATTCCATTTTAGCTATACCATAGACACTTACAGAAGTACTTTTGAGTGAGTATCATTCCATTTTAGCTATACCATAGACACTTACAGAAGTGCTGTCGAGTGAGTATCATTCAGTTTTAGCTTTACCATCGACACTTACAGAAGTGCTTTTGAGTGAGTATCATTCCATTTTAGCTATACCATAGACATTTACAGAAGTGCTGTTGAGTGAGTATCATTCCATTTTAGCTATACCATAGACATTTACAGAAGTGCTGTTGAGTGAGTATCATTCCATCTTTGCTATACCATAAAGCTTTGCTGTCCAACTCATGGTATGGTTTTATATTGCTTATAGCTCAAGAAAATTTATGACTGCCATTTTTAGTTTCTATTCACTTGTTTATAAATGCCTGTCCCCAAATTCATTTTTTATATTCAGGTATTCACCAGAAAATCCGGACCTACTTACTACCCTTGGCCTGCTTTACATGCAGGTAGGTAGCCTATTGTTAATGTGTTACATAGCCAGATATTTTAAGAAATTTCTGAAGCACTTTTTATGTCATTTTAAATGGTACATCTTGTCTTTGTCAGTCTGCACACCTTTTTTTTAATTTAAAAAAAATGTAAATTAACAGGAACACTGGCCAATGTGTCAACTTATGAAACAAGTGGCTAATTCTGGCCACTTAAGTTGTGAAACTAGACAATCAAATTTAACATTGATTCCACATGAGAACAAGATCATGAGAAGGAAAGAGTTTTAATTTGTTATGAACTTTTTGTTTGAATACCTCGATATATATATATTAATTTTACCATTTCTAAACCTCGTAGTAAAATTGTTAACACCGAACTGTGTTAACTATGTCTCCTTAAAGTAACCAGTTTCTGTTAAGTTTAGTTTTAATATCTTTATATTCTGTTGCAAGCCATCAATTCAAAAATATAAGAACAACTTTTTATTTTTTTAAATTTTCTATGAAAGACGATTTTAAAACACTAAGATCTAGAACATAATTTATCATTTCTTAAGATGCATTACACAAAGGAAGTCTGTGTAGAAAATATTTTCAAAAATTAATAAAAAAATATAAAAAATTTAAATTTTGTCTACATTCAACTCCAATCCTTTGGCTTCATAGAGAGCTCATCTACACTTCTGTACAGTCTTCCTTTGGCTACATAGGGTGCTCATCTACACTTCTATACAGTCTTCCTTTGGCTACATAGGGTGCCCATCTACGCTTCTGCACAGTCTTTCTTTGATAAAAAGTCTTGTTTTAAAAATATTTTTCTAACTTCTAGACTTGGCCGTCAACTTGATCTTTTCACGCCATTAGTTCATACAATGATTTTAAGAGAATCATTTAGAATTATGAGCTACTTTCTTTGAAACTGAAAGGAAAAAATAAAAATATTGCTAAAAATTTTCCTACTTGCATATTCATCATAGACATAAACAGATTTTTTTTTTCAAAAGGTCAATCAGTTTCAGAAGGCATTTGAGAATCTTGGCAATGCCATGACCTTTGACCCAAGCCACACTAAAGCTATCATAGCTGCCGGCAGTATGATGCAGGACCATGCAGATTATGATGTGGCCATCACCAAGTACCGCATAGCTGCAGCAAACATCCCTGAATCTCCTCCACTCTGGAATAATATTGGCATGTGCTTTTTTGGCAAGAAAAAATATGTGGCTGTACGTACCTTGTCAATTTCTCATTTTAATTTGTTCAACTGCTTTCAAAAAATCAAACAATGTCATTTTTAAATTGCTGTTGAAAAAATGTTTAGAAAATATGTTTTTTACTTATTATTCTGCATAGTCTATGTTTTTTTAAAAAAAAGGAATTAATTAACCACTTTCAATTACCAAGGACGTCATAATAAAGAGGCAAAGAACTTTTCTGAACTACTAAGGACATCACGTCGACGCCATATTTCAATGCTATATATTTCTTTATTAGTTAATCTATAGAGAAGTTAAAAAACAAATCCGATAGAGGGTGAAAAATAAAATAAACCCCCCACCCCCTAAAAAAAAAAAAAAAAGCAAAAATTGATTGAAATAAAACACAAAAAATAAACATATTTCAATGCTATATATTTCTTTATTAGTTAATCTAAAGAGAAGTTAAAAAACAAATCCGATAGAGGGTGAAAAATAAAATAAACCCCCCACCCCCTAAAAAAAAAAAAAAAGCAAATATTGATTGAAATAAAACACAGAAAATAAACATTCTTTTATCTCAGGCAATCAGCTGTTTGAAGAGAGCCAATTATCTGGCACCATTTGAGTGGAGAATTCTTTACAACCTGGGACTCGTTCATCTGACCATGCAGCAATATGCATCATCATTCAACTTCATATCAGCTGCTATCAACCTGAAATCTGACATGGCACAACTTTACATGCTCTTGGCAAGTAGGTCACATTTCTAGAACGATATCCAGTAGGTCACATTTCTAGCACGATATCCAGTAGGTCACATTTCTAGCACGATATCCAGATTATATCATAGAATTCACTCTGGACAAAAAGGGAGTTATGAACCTTTCCTTTGCTAGCACTCTAGTATAGCCACGAATCAAATCATTAGTGCTTATAAGTTAAAAAAGGACAAACGGTTCTCAACTATTTTTTGTTTTTAAATACTTTCAAGTATGTTATATTTGTATGTTATGCATTACGAGGATGAAAATTAAATGAAATTGGTGCTAAGTAAAATATATAATTAAGGAATTTCAGTGACATGTGAAACAATAAAAAAACATGTTTGCCTCATTAGAAACATCATAGAGCTCATCAGATCAATTAAGTTTTTTGTATTTTTTGTTGAAGGAATGTAAACACATGCTAAATTATTCTTGTCAGTTTCCCTTACACACCTGGATGACCCTGAAGATGCTGCACAGTCCTATGAGCACGCCTTGAAACTGGATGAGTGAGTTTTGGCCTGGAGAATTCTCTTCTTATTTCTTTCTGGAGAATTCTCTTCTTATTTCTTTCTGGAGAATTCTCTTCTTATTTCTTTCTGGAGAATTCTCTTCTTATTTCTTTCTGGAGAATTCTCTTCTTATTTCTTTCTGGAGAATTCTCTTCTTATTTCTTTCTGGAGAATTCTCTTCTTATTTCTTTCTGGAGAATTCTCTTCTTATTTCTTTCTGGAGAATTCTCTTCTTATTTCTTTCATTTGTTTGACAAATAAATTTTATATCAGAAGTAGTTTCTGCACATTTTAAATCCATAGCAATAAGTAGGTCATACATGTTAGTCCATAGCAATAAGTAGGTCATACATGTCAGCCCATAGCAATAAGTAGGTCATACGTGCCAGCCCATAGTAATAAGTAGGTCATACATGTCAGTCCATAGCAATAAGTAGGTTATACATGTCAGCCCATAGTAATAAGTAGGTCATACATGTCAGTCCATAGTAATAAGTAGGTTATACATGTCAGCCCATAGCAATAAGTAGGTTATACATGTCAGCCCATAGCAATAAGTAGGTTATACATGTCAGCCCATAGCAATAAGTAGGTTATACATGTCAGTCCATAGTTATAAGTAGGCTATACATGTCAGTCCATAGTAATAAGTAGGTTATACATGTCAGTCCATAGCAATAAGTAGGTTATACATGTCAGTCCATAGTAATAAGTAGGCTATACATGTCAGTCCATAGTAATAAGTAGGCTATACATGTCAGTCCATAGTAATAAGTAGGTTATACATGTCAGCCCATAGCAATAAGTAGGCTATACATGTCAGCCCATATTAATAAGTAGGCTATACATGTCAGTCCATAGTAATAAGTAGGTTATACATGTCAGCCCATAGCAATAAGTAGGTTATACATGTCAGTCCATAGTTATAAGTAGGTTATACATGTCAGCCCATAGCAATAAGTAGGTTATACATGTCAGTCCATAGTAATAAGTAGGCTATACATGTCAGCCCATAGCAATAAGTAGGTTATACATGTCAGCCCATAGCAATAAGTAGGTTATACATGTCAGTCCATAGTAATAAGTATGTTATACATGTCAGTCCATAGTAATAAGTGGGTTATACATGTCAGTCCATAGTTATAAGTAGGTTATACATGTCAGTCCATAGTAATAAGTAGGCTATACATGTCAGTCCATAGTTATAAGTAGGTTATACATGTCAGTCCATAGTTATAAGTAGGCTATACATGTCAGTCCATAGTTATAAGTAGGTTATACATGTCAGCCCATAGCAATAAGTAGGTTATACATGTCAGTCCATAGTAATAAGTAGGTTATACATGTCAGTCCATAGTTATAAGTAGGTTATACATGTCAGTCCATAGTAATAAGTAGGTTATACATGTCAGTCCATAGTAATAAGTAGGTTATACATGTCAGTCCATAGTTATAAGTAGGCTATACATGTCAGTCCATAGTAATAAGTAGGCTATACATGTCATTCAATAGTAATAAGTAGGTTATACATGTCAGTCCATAGTAATAAGTAGGTTATACATGTCAGCCCATAGCAATAAGTATGTTATACATGTCAGTCCATAGTAATAAGTAGGCTATACATGTCATTCAATAGTAATAAGTAGGCTATACATGTCAGCCCATAGTAATAAGTAGGCTATACATGTCAGTCCATAGTAATAAGTATGTTATACATGTCAGTCCATATTAATAAGGAGGCTATACATGATTTTAGCATCTTTTGTTGACAAGGCAAATGTCAGTCCATAGTAATTATAAAATATAATAGCAGCTGTCCACAACAAGATAATTGTAAAGCTGTAGCTTGCCTCAGTGGTGTGCAACCCTTTTGTTGATGTGACTGTAGAATGCCTCAGTGGTGTGCAACCCTTTTGGTGATGTGACTGTAGAATGCCTCAGTGGTGTGTAACCCTTTTGTTGATGTGACTGTAGCATGCCTCAGTGGTGTGCAACCCTTTTGTTGATGTGACTGTAGAATGCCTCAGTGGTGTGCAACCCTTTTGTTGATGTGACTGTAGCTTGCCTCAGTGGTGTGCAACCCTTTTGTTGATGTGACTGTAGAATGCCTCAGTGGTGTGCAACCCTTTTAGTGATGTGACTGTAGAATGCCTCAGTGGTGTGCAACCCTTTTAGTGATGTGACTGTAGAATGCCTCAGTGGTGTGCAACCCTTTTGTTGATGTGACTGTAGCTTGCCTCAGTGGTGTGCAACCCTTTGGTTGATGTGACTGTAGAATGGCTCAGTGGTGTGCAACCTTTTTGGTGATGTGACTGTAGAATGCCTCAGTGGTGTGCAACCTTTTTGGTGATGTGACTGTAGAATGCCTCAGTGGTGTGCAACCCTTTTGTTGATGTGACTGTAGAATGCCTCAGTGGTGTGCAACCCTTTTGTTGATGTGACTGTAGAATGCCTCAGTGGTGTGCAACCCTTTTAGTGATGTGACTGTAGCTTGCCTCAGTGGTGTGTAACCCGTTTTGTGATGTGACTGTAGCTTGCCTCAGTGGTGTGCAACCCTTTTAGTGATGTGACTGTAGCATGCCTCAGTGGTGTGCAACCTTTTTGGTGATGTGACTGTAGCTTGCCTCAGTGGTGTGCAACCCTTTTAGTGATGTGACTGTAGCTTGCCTCAGTGGTGTGTAACCCTTTTTGTGATGTGACTGTAGCATGCCACAGTGGTGTGCTACCTTTATGTGACTGTAGCGTGCCTCAGTGGTGTGCAACCTTTTTGGTGATGTGACTGTAGCTTGCCTCAGTGGTGTGCAACCCTTTTGGTGATGTGACTGTAGCTTGCCTCAGTGGTGTGTAACCCCTTTTGTGATGTGACTGTAGCATGCCTCAGTGGTGTGCAACCTTTTTGGTGATGTGACTGTAGCTTGCCTCAGTGGTGTGCAACCCGTTTTGTGATGTGACTGTAGCATGCCTCAGTGGTGTGTAACCTTTTTGGTGATGTGACCACTGAGAAGAATTATTGATTCATAAAGTCCACTTCTGCTTATGTTCTTACACAAACGGGTTAAACTTCCATCACAAACAGAGGTTAAACTCCCATCACAAACAGAGGTTAAACTCCCATCACAAACAGGTTAAACTCCCATCACAAACAGAGGTTAAACTCCCATCACAAGAGGTTAAACTCCCATGACGTAAAAGGGTCATGACCTCCAAAGTTGGGCTTCATTGGTGTAGGTCAGGGGTCGGCAACCTGCGGCTCGCGAGTCGCATGCAGCATCTTTTGATGTCAAGATGCGGCTCTCCAGTTCCATGCGCAAATATTACTAATTATATTGAAATAAAAATGTTAGTGGCTCTTTAAAAACTGGGAAATTTTGTAAATTGTAACTTTTGGCTCTTCCGTCTCAAAAGGTTGCCAACCCCTGGTGTAGGTGATTATAACTGACGAAAATAATTGAAAAACTCCAAAATTAATGCATTTGTATTAACTTCTGTAGTAAAGATCCAGCCATCTTGTTGAATTACACTGTTTTTCTCCTGAACAATGGAGACCGTCGCAAGGCAAGTCACTCACTGTCACAGTTTGAATCGATGGCTGCATTCTACAAGAATTCGGGGAAGGAAATGGATCAAGAGGTGAGTAGAAGGGTATTGTCAAGAGGTGAGTAGTAGTGTATTGATTGGAAGGGAAAGACTTTCAAACATAGCAGATACAAAGCCTGAAGTCCAAATGAACATTTTTTAAATATAATCCACAAAACTGTATCAACACAAAAACCCACCTGAAAATACATAATCATCAATCAGATCCAGTGGCCCTTTGGATATGTGCCCTTCAGCCTGCGGTCTTGATGGAAGAATTTACACACTCTCCCCAGCTGTGGGTATATAAGGTGTTGGTAAAGTCTGGCATTTTTTGTAGATAGTTTAGGCGTTGGTTGAAGTGTTGGGCAGTAGAAGAGGTGATATGTGACCATCTCATTTTGATGTTTTCAGTGGGGGCACATTGGAGTTTGATCTGGTTTGGTGGTGTTCATTGGAAATTAAGTTGTGTTTGTCCTGTGCAAAGACAAATGATTAAATTTGAAAAAAAAGTTTAGGTGAAACTATATTGAACAGGGTAAACTTTCCCCAGTCTCATTTCATTTCAATGCAGATAATCATAAAGGGACATTAGATGTATCCATCACTGCACTGATTTCCTGCACCAACTCACCTGAGAGAGTTAGAAGAGAAAACAAATTAATTTTGTTTTTCGGCACAATATCAACATATGGAATTATTCAAATACTCTCTCCTACTAATGATCCTCAATTTCCATGTATTTCTTTTCTTATTTCTTATATTTCATATATCTCCAAAATATTTTGTCCATTAAGATTTAAGATCTTATTTTTCACAGTTACATTTCATAAATTCTTTTACTTCCTGTCATCTTCCCAATAAATGGTGATCACTTAAGTATTTTAACTAGTTTCTATTTCTTGTCCTATTTTCCTTTGTCGTGTCTGCTGAGGAAATGTCCTGTCTTTTGATTCAAGCTTCCACAAACCTTGTCCTACTATTTCCTTCACAAACCTACAAACCTTGTCGTACTATTTCCTTCATACATCTTAAGCGCAGTCCTTCGTTTATTGTCCTTTTTTATCTAAAAAACATTCTTACTTATAGTACTACCATAGTGACTTAGTTGATGACAATAGTGACATAGTTGATGGCCATAGTGACATAGTTGATGGCCATAGTGATGTAGTAGATGGCCATAGTGACGTAGTTGAAGGTCATAGTGACATAATTGATATCCATAGTGATGTAGTAGATGGCCATAGTGACATAGTTGAAGGCCATAGTGACATAGTTGATGGCCATAGTGATGTAGTAGATGGCCATAGTGACATAGTTGAAGGCCATAGTGACATAGTTGAAGGCCATAGGGACATAGTTGATGGCCATAGTGACATAGTTGAAGGCCATAGGGACATAGTGACATAACCGATGGCCATAGTGATGGCAGTGAACCTGTGAAAATGTACACCAAATGTTGGTATTGCCTAACGGCACAATAAACTTGAGTTGCTAAAAACTAAAATGAACAGAACGTTTACGTTTTTGGAATGGCTCCTGAAATGATTTCTCCTCAGCTTGTAGAACTGGCTGCAAAGTTAGGACCTGCTATACAATTTGGCCATCCTCACGTGGAGACAGTTGTTCCTTCCGCTTCAAAATCTGCCCAACCCACTGGAAATGAGGATATTTACAGTACCGTCAACAAACCGAAGCTTTACTTAGATACGTGTGAGAGTCTCAGCGTCATTTTTTTTTATAATGGGTGGATTTTTTTTAATTTGATTGGAAAATGGATGCACTTTGTTTCTCTTATTATTCTGTTGTAAAATTTAAAATATCAAATTTAAATAATTGAATGCATCATTAGCGTAGAATATTGCATTTCAAAATGAGGAGTTAACATTTACATTAAATGGTTTAAATTTGACAAACCTGCTAGAAGTTTTGTATTTTAGAATGCAGAGCAGGCTGATTTTTATCATAAAACATTTGATCTGTTTATTGGATTGTTGAACAAAAATAATGATCCCATTCTCAGCCCAAGGCGTTAAGCCTGAGAGAACTGACCAAAAGTCTCCTGGACTTCAGCAGAAGTTGCAACAACCACTGCTCTACGAAGAGGAGCCAGACATTATGAGTGACTCACCATTGACCACAGGGCTCATCACTCATGAACAAACTAGTAACTCTGATGTGTTGGCCCCACCAACTGAGTTTGCTAATGGCTCTCAGTTATCTCCCTTGAGTGAGTTGCTTCTCTTGTGTCACCTTTGTGCTATTGTGTGCTTTGTTATTTTCTCTAACAGAGAAAGATACATCTTAGTACAATATGCCATAGCTTGAATTTTTTAATTATTGTGTAGATCTATATAAATATTATGTGACTGTGTTCTTAAACTTAAGTCAACTCTATTGCTTATTGCCACTATCACACTGTTAAACACCCTCCCAATTCGTCACACGCCTGCCTGTCTCACTGTTCAACTCCCTCCCAATTAGTCACACGCCTGCCTATCTCACTGTTCAACTCACTCCCAATTAGTCACACGCCTGCCTACCCAGCATCATACTGCCTTTCACTTTATTATGCACTTAACTTACACGCAATAGCTATTCTGACGAGAACGTCACCCTTTTCATTACTTTGTTTATTTGCATTGCATTATGTTAAATCTTGACTGTGGGATGCACTTGTTATATCTCTCTTTAATTATTGCTAAAACTCTGAAAGCCCTTGATTAAATTAAATTGATCAAATAATTCCAGGCAGACAAGTTCATTCCTCACCCAAGTCTTCATTGCCGGCCATTCGACCGGGGAAACTTCCGAGCATTGACACGGCCCCAACACCCCCGACCCATCTACCAGAAGATGATGATGATGATATTGTTGAGGAAATAGAGGACCAAACAAGCAGACATAAAGAAGGAAAGGTGCCAGCATTGACCAGCTAGGCTGTTTCAATTAACAATTATTTATTTGTGTCTATGACATTTTGTCTCACAGGAGACTTTTCTCCAAATTGACAAGTATTTTTCTGCATAGTTCTATACTGTTCATATTTTATACAAGTTTAGTACGTATTTTAGACTCTAAATAAATTGCTTTGTGAGTTGACAAAGAAAAAATATTGTTTATAATCTGTCTAAAATCATGTACATTTTTTTAAAAAGAACCGAAAGAATGATCCGATTAATTGCACAGTAACAACTTACATTTTAAATTACATAAAGAATACAAAATATTAATTTAAGAACCTAAACAGAAAGTTATGTAGCCATCTTATAATGTAAGAATGGTCCGAATGGGTTGTTACGGAACATTAGGCCACAGTAAAGGAGGTTTTTTGTAACATCATCAGTATGAAATCATTTTGAAATTTTGCTGGTTAATTTTTCACCCAGTTCCTAGTTTTACTTTTTAAGACACATCCTTGTAAGTGTAAGGGACATAATTAAGATTTTTGTATTTATAGAATGTAACTTATTGATATTGCTTCAGTATTTGATATATATTAACCATTGTTCAGTATGTTTACTGAATTTTTTTTCACTTCTGTTCAGAAGCCGTCCATTGATATGTGAATATGATGTCATGACATGTTTACATAAGTCATGTGTGTACATCTATTTCTAAGCCACACATCATTAACAACTGTGTCATGTCTGTGTGGCATACAAGTTCAAAGTTCAACCTGATTTCCATTGCTGTATCTTATTCTACATCAAGCTGTTACTGTGATACACCAAATTATGATGTTTTGTCAAGCAATTTTAATCCCTAACTTTTTAAGAAAATGTTTGGTTTCTCCTTATATTATCTTTTAGTTTCATGTATTTTTTTAAACATAATTTTATTTCATTCATTTTCTAATAAATGTTGTTCAAAGCCATTTGGAAATTTTCACCAATCAATTTTAATTTGTCTAAATTTATATTTTCATTATTGAATATGTTGCTGGAATTAATTGACTAAGTCCTTAGTGTACAGAAGTTAATTTCTCAAATCTTATTCTGCAATCTAAAGTCTTTAATAAGCTCTGATAAATGACAGCGGTTGTTTTCTTCAGTCTGCTGAGTCCAAGACTTGCGCACCTACAGCAATAGAGGGACTCAGTGGTATACAACAGAAATCCTTGGGTCACCATGGAGCTTTTTGTTGAGTTTACTTTTGTAACGCCAGAATCGCAATAAGATGTATAAGTATCAGTATCAGTCTCAGGCCTGCCTTACATCCTACCTGACTAACAGTAACAGAATTGGAAACGTTAATTAAACAATATGAGTTTGCACATTCCAAAATCTTTTTTTTTACAGAAGCCATATTATGATGTCCCCTGAATAATCTTTTGAGGAGGATTTTATTAGTTCTGCCATAGAAATAAACAACACACTATCAAACTACAGTCAACAAATGTTCCTGCTCTTATAAATAAAAATTTTAAAATGTACCTGCAAGTGAATGTTAAGTAAATTACAAAATGCTATGACATATCAAAGAACATTGTTAAAATGGTAATGTGTCTGAAGATTAAAATGTATACCAAGAAAAATGTGAGCAATAAAAAAAAAAGTATGATTGCAAGTGTAACCTCAAATACAGATTTCACACAATAATTTATTTCAGTACGGTACCTTTAAAGATCTCAATGGAGACTTTTGCTAAATAAATAAACACAGTTATATACAGTAAAAATAATTGTAACATATAGTGCAATACCTTAATTGATATGTTTAAAGTATAAAGTGTTAACAAATAACAACATATTCTGTTTGTAACATTCAATAAACACCCAACAACTCAAATAGCTACAAATGATCCATTGTGAAGGAACAACTTGGACAACATCTGTCACAAAGTTTTATATCTCTTGTATGAGTCACCTAATTGTTATCAAAGTTGTATACCTCATGTCTGAGACACCTAATTGTTACCAAAGTTTTATACCTCTTGTCTTATTAATTTCAGTTGCCTTATCTAATCTGAACAATTTTCTTTAACTCATTTGCATACTCAAAAGAACCTGTCTCTGATATTTTTCCTATAGTGATGAAATATTCTATCTTGACTTGTCTATAAACCACCATCATGTTCCTGCCGAAATTTCTCTATTAATTCCATGATCTTAAGGTAACGTGGTGGAGGATCCTGGTTACCATTGTGAGGTACAGATTCAAGAAATTTGACGTAATCCTCTGGAATTCTATTTTGCTTGGCCCCATCCAGCATGACTTTAAGGTAATATGGACTGGGATGCTTGTCTCCATTGGGTTCCAAGTACATCTCATAAGTTCGGCACGGAATCTTTTCTTCACCCACCTCCACTATCACCTGATACGCTTTGTAGCCCATTTCTTGCCTGGAGTAATAAATATAAAATTGAAATAATGGTAACAGCTGAGATGAATTTTGTAAAGTAAAAATTTTATACCTGAAGACATTAAGCCTATTTCTAATGATTTACCTTTGAATGCATATGAAATGTTTTGCATAAAAAGAAAACTTATAATAAGAACCAGTTATTCAAAAAAAACTCTACATATTAATTAAGAGTAGTGAGTTAGACATGCTGTGTTCATGAAGTACACTGATGTTTGCAATGAAGTACACTGATGTTTGCAATGAAGTACACTGATGTTTGCAATGAAGTACACTGATGTTTGCAATGAAGTACACTGATGTTTGCAATGAAGTACACTGATGTTTGCAATGAAGTACACTGATGTTTGCAATGAAGTGCACTGATGTTTGCAATGAAGTACACTGATGTTTGCAATGAAGTGCACTGATGTTTGCAATGAAGTACACTGATGTTTGCAATGAAGTACACTGATGTTTGCAATGAAGTACACTGATGTTTGCAATGAAGTACACTGATGTTTGCAATGAAGTACACTGATGTTTGCAATGAAGTACACTGATGTTTGCAATGAAGTACACTGATGTTTGCAATGAAGTACACTGATGTTTGCAATGAAGTGCACTGATGTTTGCAATGAAGTACACTGATGTTTGCAATGAAGTGCACTGATGTTTGCAATGAAGTACACTGATGTTTGCAATGAAGTACACTGATGTTTGCAATGAAGTACACTGATGTTTGCAATGAAGTACACTGATGTTTGCAATGAAGTACACTGATGTTTGCAATGAAGTGCACTGATGTTTGCAATGAAGTACACTGATGTTTGCAATGAAGTGCACTGATGTTTGCAATGAAGTACACTGATGTTTGCAATGAAGTACACTGATGTTTGCAATGAAGTACACTGATGTTTGCAATGAAGTACACTGATGTTTGCAATGAAGTACACTGATGTTTGCAATGAAGTACACTGTTTGCAATGAAGTACACTGATGTTTGCAATGAAGTACACTGATGTTTGCAATGAAGTACACTGATGTTTGCAATGAAGTACACTGATGTTTGCAATGAAGTACACTGATGTTTGCAACCAATATAAAATTATCGCCAACTTAAAAAAGCCAAAGCATTGCAAAAAGAAAAAATATTTTGATACATAAACTGAATATTTTTTTAAAGCATTTCTTAACTTCTGTTAACTTTCTAGGTTCATTACTACAGCTGTGCGTGGGCCTGGTGGACCTGAAGGTCCAGTTATTGATATCTGATATAGCCTTCCTTTCACCCAGTGAAAAAAATAGTATATGGCTAAATAAAAAAGTTCTGTACAGCTCTTAGTTTAAGATTCAACCAGAATTTTAATCTTGTAATGATTTTTTTCTGACCACCAATTTCAATAGGTAAATTATTGCAGCAGCTCCCAGCAAATAATTAAGAAACCTATATTGTAAAATAGTCCAACAATGACACATTGAATATGATTCTACTTGGACTCACAGAGACACTTGGGATTTTTAAAAAAGTCCTTGGAGTGATCATAGTTCATAGCTTAGGTCGGGCTGACCACTAATTGATCATAGTTCATAGCTTAGGTCGGGCTGATCTGTAATTGATCATAGTTCATAGCTTAGGTCGGGCTGACCTCTAATTTATCATAGTTCATAGCTTATGTCGGGCCGACCTCTAATTTAAGTTTAAGACATTGGGTAACACAGAAAAGTAATTATTTTTAAAGAAAATTAGGTAAGGTCAACAATTAAACTAAACTTACTCATCTAATGTCCGCAGATGTTCCATTTTAAGCTCCCATACAACACCCCAGACGTAATCAGTGGGACTTCCTTCTCTTATGGTCGCAGCTGCTCCAAACCATGGATTGTCCTCCAGGTCTTTAGGGGTGTCAAATGTCAACCTGTAGCTCTTAAATAAAGTTGCCAAGCATTAAATTTCAATTAAACAAGCAAATGTATTATTTTAGTGATTCTCTTAGAGAAGAAAGGTAATTTGATTAAGTTTTAATTTTAGTGTCTTTAAAGGGAAATTTTTTTCAAAAGCAATGAAATTTGAAGTCGATGTTTAAAAGTATGTAATTATTATTTTTTTTGTTAAAATAATGATAATGACAAAGCAACTTAAATATTATTTTATATAATTTTAATTAATGTTGATGTGGTTAGGCCATAATTTTTATTCTAATTTTAAAAATAAAATAATGGAATTGATTTTATATGTACATTAATTTATCATTTATACTATAATCTGATTTAATTTAACAAGTTTCTTTGGCTGTTGTTGGGTAGAATGAGAAGCCCCCTAAACATAATGAGCTATGGGTAGAGCACAATGCCTCCTTCCTAACATAGGCCTATGCTGAATTGTGGGGTGAACATAGCCTGAGCTGCTTAAGTAAAAAGTAATCTAAAATTTTTTTAAAGTAGATCTACGATTTATACAGTAATTTATACTGTGCAAACATTAAATTAAACAAATAAAAGAAACAGTCAGCAAATTAATTTTTGTAGTTTTTTAAGAATTTTTTAAAAATTTGAGTTAATTAGTTATTAGTCCAGCGAGGTTATTTACTGGCGTATTCTATAGAGTAGGCCTATAGCAATGGCATATACTAGCTTAACTGGTTGACTGGGATGATTCTTTTTTATTATTTTTTAAATAGAACATTGTTAAAAATTAAACGTGTTTTTTTAGGGCTTATCTACTTACCGTCAACTTGCCTATCCCAAAAAATTTTGCAGAGGGATTGTTTACTAAAATTCTCTCTCTTAATAAATTGCTGCCATAAGAAAAATACTTGAATGTGTCAGTGCCTCTGCAGCTGCTACTCACACTGTTCTCCATCTTACTGGCTTCCATTTTTTAAGAATTTATTTCCCTCCTGGAAATCTAATCAGTAACATAGAACACCAGGCCCACAGTCCTATATATGGTAACCAATAACTTTCAATAAGACAAACTTAAATGAAAGAGTAGAAAATTAAATGTGCAACAAACACAAGATTTTTCAGTTTAAGTAAAATTTTAATTGTTCTAGTTTTGGAGAAACGTTCATGTGAAGGGTAGCTAATTGTTATAACTTATACTATTAAGGTAATCTACCACTTCAGCACTGGTTATTCAAAACTCCTGTTGTTCTGCTTTGTACGGATTCATTTCAATCTATATAAAAATAATTCAAGATAAAAAATTTTAAAATAGAAAATTAAAATAATAAAATATTTTGTTAAACTAGACAAATGTAAAAAATTTAATGTATGAAATGAAAAAAAGTTTGAGTTTCAGCTTATGCATGGTTCTTCCCCCCCCCCCCCAAAAAAAAATAGGAAGGGAAAAGAATGTCACTTTTGTCAACTGTCTTTTCATTTTGTGTAAAAAAATAAAAAATTTAATATATGAAAATAAAAAAAGTTTGAGTTTCAACTTATGCATGGTTCTTCCCCCCCCCCCCCCCAAAAAAAATAGGAAGGGAAAAGAATGTCACTTGTGTCAACTGTCTTTTCAGTTTGTGCTATGCTCGCATCTCCATATTTTCAACATTCTGTCTGTGAACACCAGCATCATTTGGATTGACAAAATTTTGTTGATGGATCACAATGGAGTGTTTGTAGATTCCCAAGTTTAAACTAGTTTATGGGTAATTGGGCACTTGACATTTCCCCCCATTCTACCGTGTTTTAGCACTATTTTTTCCCCACAAATCCACCATCTTTGTTTCCATGACAGCAGATGTGTTGTAGCAACAAAGATGGCTGCTGTGTTTAAAAAAAAAATTTCTTTAAAAGTAGTGCAAAAAGCATGGCTGTTAAAATGGGAAAGGGAGAGAATGTGTTGTTTCAACTACTTACCGAAAGAAACCAAAACAGGAACAAAATGTTTAAGTTTAATGGTTGCCCCCTTTCCTGGCGTAATTTCAGCCATTAATTTCATGGAGAACGTAGCAAATTTATTGTATCCCTCTAGATATTCTCCAAGAAGTTTCAACGACCTGCGGTCGCTCCCGTCCCTCAATTAAAACATCTGTGCTACAAAATTTAGCATCATTTTAAATCTTGTTTTAAATATTATAATTAACTACCCAATGGAATATTAACTTAAAATATTCCACTGGGGTATTAATATTATTTTTTTTTTTTATGTAACTCTAGTAACAATTCACTTATAATAACTAAAAGAAACTCATTCATCCCGGTGTGAAATGTCAAGCTTACATTGTCTGTTTTATGTTTGCCATAAGCCACCCATCAACCCAGTTCTACGAGATCTCCATTGGGTTTCTTTGAGTGAGCGCATTAACTACAAAATTCTGTCCCTGGCGTACAGCTGCATAGAAAATTCTGCACCGGAATATCTTAAAGAAGTGATTTATAAGCATGTATCCTTAAAGAACCTGCGGTCGTCAACACAGTCCTTACTGAAAATTCCCAGTGTGGATGAACACCGAAAAAAGTCTTACGGAGTGCGCTCTTTTGAATCGATAGCGCCAAAATTATGGAACAGTTTGCCTCAATCTTTGAGGGGCATTGAAAATGATAAAAAAAAATCATTTAAATTTAAGAAACATTTAAAAACTTTTTTGTTTAAATAGATTTAAGAAAACCAGAGCGCAGTGAGCATGCTATAGTAGCATGGATACCAACGCTATATAAATATCCAATAAATCAATCAATCAATAGATCATCACTCATGACCATGTAAAGTGATCGCATGTTGGTCTGGTACTTTAATGAGAAAACAGCACCCAGTCTCTCTTCACAGTCCTATAAACGGACATCAATAGAGGAATTACCATTTAATTTTAACATTTAAATAACACTTCAAACCGTATCAACATGACTTTTGAATAACCGATGCTGAGCTGAAGCAGTATAGTAATATATATTATTACCACTTAGCCCACTATTAATTATTAATATTAATAATAATAGTATTTCAAAAGCCCAAAAGGATTATTATAGGATGATTAAATTATTAGTATATATAATTATAAGTATAAATATATTAGACTAGTCCCTTGACTAGTATTAGCAGAAGTAGACGTAGAAGAAATAAAAAATTAATTAAATTATAAAAAATGACTACAATCAAATTACAATTCAATAGTGAATGAGTTCGAGAAACTCAGAATGAATGTGTCCAAACTACATCGACATTCAGTTCAGCAGCACTCATTGAGTAATCTACCACATACAATAAAACCATTGAAACATCGTAACGAAAATTGCACATAATATCCTCTGTTTAAATTAAATCGTGGTTTACTTCTTGTCGGGGATTGATCTAAAAATTAATAAATGCAAGTTAGTTAGTGGCAGCCTACCATTCCATTCCTATTATCCAACAAAGATGATGCAAAATCCAGTGGCCATGGTACAATGAGTATTTATAATGTGACAGTACTGCCACTCAGATTTTTCAAAAGTCCCCAGATTTAGTCAACACATGTCCCCAGATTTCCCCAGTTTTTGTATAACAAAGAAATCTGTGCAAGGACTTGCACAGGCCCCGACCGCAAACATATGGGCATAAATAAATATTTTGAAAATTATTTCTTTGCACCATTATCTATTACAGCGGTTCTCAACCTGTGGGTCGCGACCCCTTTGGGGATCGCGGGACCCTTTCCCAGGGGTCGCCTAAGACCATCTGAAAACACATATCCTTACAGTATGAAGTAGCAACGAAAATAATTGTGTGGCTGGGGGTCGCCACGACACAAGAAACTGTATAAAAGGGTCGCGGCACTAAAAAAGTTTAGAACCACTGATCTATTAAGTGGTAATTCACTGAACCTTTGCATTATTTTCATTGATACACGAAGCTCGTCTGCGTAATATACATGTATTTATGTTAATGAGACACGAACAATGTAATTTTTTAATGTCAATAGCCTATTATCAATATACAAATTTAAACTTTTCGGCTGGTGGTTTCATCAGTAATTAAAAGAAGTGCAACCCTTTTATATTATATAGTATTTGGAATTGTTTATAGTTTAATATTTCAGAAAATTGAAATTTCATGCGTCAAAAAATATGATATCCGCAATGAGTAAACTAAAACTGAGAGTTAGTGCAGCACATTGAAGAGTAGGCCTACAGTAACGTATCGGACGTTGATTAGAATGGTAAAAGCCGTTTTAAAATCGGACTAAAAGTTTTTATTTATAGCATTTTATGAGACAAACATGGCTAAATGCGGTTTTGAGAAAACACGCTTCGAATTTGCATATTACAAAAGTTGTTGTTGGTTTTTTGTTAAGTCAGTGGGTAATGCACAACCATAATTGTGTAATATCGTTTCAATCTGAAACAGTATCAAAGAATCCTTATTAAAATGTCTGTGCAGAGATACGGATCTTCCATCGAGCGCCTCCCCAGGTGGCGGCCAGGGGAAAGCCCATCAGAAATGGAGGGTACCGGGGAAATAAAATACCCGGGGTGAATCAACCTCAGAACCTACCGCCTTGTAGGAACTCTAGAAGAAACTAAAGAAGTCATTAATTAAATTTAAAAAAACAACACAAAGCCCCCGGGGAAGACCTCATCACAACGGAACTGATTAAATGTGGAGGAAGAGAACTACACACTCAGACACATAAACTTATAACTAGAATTTGTCAACAAGAGAAAATTCCAACAGAATGGGAAACAGCATTAATAACCCCAATACACAAGAAAGGCTCCAAACTTCAATGCACAAACTACAGCGGAATCTCCCTATTAAATGTTTCTTACAAAATACTGACGAAGCTAACAGCCAAATGACTATTACCGTACACTGAAGAAATCCTAGGTGATAGCCAATGTGGATTCAGGCCTAACAGATTAACGACTGATCAGATCTTCACCATCAGATGCCTATTAGAGAACTGTTATGAATATAATATCCCAGTACATCAACTTTATGTGGACTTTAAATGGCCTATGACAGCATCAAAAGAAAAATATATATGAGACTCTGCAGGAGTTTGGCATACCCAACAAATTGACAAGACTAATACACGTAACATTTTAACAACTCAAAAAGCAAAATCAAGGTTCAAGGAGAATATTCAAAGGAATTTCAGATTAGACGAGACCTAAGACAGGGGAGCTCACTGTTCTTTTATGCTATTCAACCTAACATTAGCAAGAGTTATCCGAAGCATACATATTGACACCTGAACAATAACAGAATACTTTATAAGGGAAACCCAAGACCCACAAACAATAGGCACTCTAGAACCAACAACTTCAGCATCTTGAATATGCTGATGACATAGCACATATGCTGGTGACATAGCACTGCTAGGGAAAGGTAGTAAAGACATATCAAACTCCTTTATTGAATTAGAAAACGCATCACTACAAGCCGGGCTGGAAGTTAATAACCAGAAGAAAAAAATGACTATAATAAGAGAATAACAAATAGATTAAGCCATTATTAAAAATAAGAAACCAGACTTTTGAAAAAGTAAATCAATTCAAATTCCTTGGATCTTTATCAAATGAAAGAAACGAATTACTAACAGAAATAATAGAAATAATATCAGCCGGAAACAGGGCATACTTCAGTAGTCAGAAAATACTCAAAAGTAAAAACTTTACAAGAGAAACAAAGAAAACTATTTATAAAACTGTAATCAGACCATTTGTAAATACCCAAGTGAAATCTGGATCCCAAAAAAACGGCAGAAAACCTATTAAACACTTTGGAGAGAAAAGTTCTCAGGAAAATATATGGACCAACAAAGGATGAATATGGATGGAGAATACGAACCAACCAGGAATAGTACAGGCTATATCAGGATCCCACGATAGAAGTAGAATTTTTTTTTAAAAGGGCAGGCCACACTGGGCAGGACACTTAGAGAGAATGCCAAATGACAGAGGAGTGAAGAGGGTGCATCAACAAAACCCCAGAGGATAAAGGCTGAAAGGCAGACCTACGCTTAGATGGATGGATGATGTGGAAAAAGATCTTCAACAACTGGGAATCCAAGCATGGAAAAGAAAAGAATTAGTTAGGTCTGAGGGGAAGTAAGTAGTAAGTGCCACAGGGATAAATGGATGGATTATTAAAATTGCCGCTAGTGTGTACGAAAGGCGAGTGAGGGAAGCTTGGTCACTTTCAAAATAGGGTTAGCAAAAAATGCATTTTCTACGATAACAAAATCAAAAATCATTCTCCCTACAATAACATCTTCCTTCGCATCAATAATTCATAAATATTGCCTGCTCCTGCCTTCTGTTTGAGCACGTTTTAGTTTTAAATCGCTAGTGGGAATCACCACATTTGTATTTTTATTTTATCCTCTTCGTCTTTGTTTACCAGAAGCTCATTATTTTCAGAGCATTTATTAGTTTTTACTTTAGATCACCGGAAATTTCATTTTCTTACTAAAGGTATAATACCGTTAACAATGATACGCAATTTGATGCCCGGGTCTTCTTGGGACCAGGCCCGTTCTAGGCATACGCTGACTACGCATACGCGTAGGGCCCCGAACGTGAGGGGGCCCCCGTGAGGCGCCCTCTATCCCAAGGTTTTTTTTAAACTGGCACTGCAGCCGCCTGTGTCACTCACGTTGCCTTCCTCATCCTGAAATTTATCATTCTGAGTTGAATTCGGGCCCCACTACCACCTGTATGTCCATATATTTCAGAAGTACACATTTTCTCTAGTGGCGGAATTATCAATATGGTTAGTGGTTACACGCTAGCAAAGAGGAAACATTGATGAAGGCAGAATGGAGGTGCTGCAGTGGTGGGTGGTGTTTTCTTCTCAGCTCGAGGGAGCTCCACCCCTGACCCCCCTTCCGGGGCCCCCAACCTACGCTCCATGCTAAGGGCCCCCAAACTCCTAAGAATGGCTCTCATGGGACGTTTAAGGGGTGACGCGATGCTCAATATTCGAGTTTTAATGTCTTGTTAGCCTACGTTTTTGAACAAACTAGCATAAGTATGTGCAGTGATTTGTTATTGCTTTAGCCAAAATCAATGTAGATTTATTTGATGTAACTAAAGCTGTAGAAGAATGTTTGTTAAATCAACATCAACCAAAAGGTCATTATTACCAACCATCTCTTTTCAACGCTAGCGCAAAACTAGCAAAACTAGCAAAACTAGCTTTGGTGACATACGACTGTAACCTTCGTGGAGGGTTACATATTATATTATTATTTTAAATTATGGAGCAATATATATTTCATGCGTCATAAATTACGTCATTATTCGGGAAGTCACTGACTTCAGTCTCTGACTGCTGCAGCCTCATTTATTATGTTGGTTTCTAAATCTCCCCAAGAGCAAAGAAGAAGCGCTGACATGTCTCTGACAAAGAGGAGTAGGAGGACGTACGTGAAGACCAGTTCTTGAGAGCGATTAGGTGAACGTACGTGAAGACTAGTTCTTGAGAGCGAGTAGGAGGACGTACGTGAAGACCAGTTCTTGAGAGCCCTCAATGTTTTTATTTATTAACAAAGGTTGACCTGATTGTAACAGGTGTACTATATTGAATTTGTAATCACTTTTTTGTGGAATAATTTGCGACCCGGCCCAGTCTCACTCAGACTCTACCTCCTGCGGCCCGCGGATTATTTGAATTTGAGACCCTCTGATCTCTATTTTATACACTAACTGAGGTTCCTAACAGCCAGGTCCGACTACTCTTCTTCCTTTAATTCGAGTCTGACTGCATCTGTCGTTAGCTCTTAATTACAGCCCTTGAATCATCATGTATATCAGCCATTTTACTACTTTTGTAAAACAGAAGAACCTTCAACTGTCCACAGGACCAACAAATTATTGTCCATACATTTTCCCTGGGGTATGTTTATAAATTAAATCTGGCTTGTAAGTTGTTAGTAAAATGAGCTCTGATGGGCACCTCTAGTTCCTTAAAATCTATTATAATTATAATATATTATTACAACCTTTGATATACTACAACAAAGCCTTATTTAACTAACAACAAATATATGATAGACTCAGTTTTAATAATAACAGTATCAACACAATATATAATATAACTAATACAATGTTAAAACTTAGAGAAAACTTCCAAAAGATTTTCTACCTATATTTCTTTCGTGTATGAAGTGTGGCATCTAGAATAAATCAATGTTTTTAATCAAACTAAACTTTTTTTGTATTGTCCTTGACCCCACCGACCACACAAGAGAAATATTATTGTTTACTAAGTAATCACTTGATGACTGCACTGCGGCTCACTCAGGCGTAACAAGTACTTATGCATGGGAGTAGATGTGGGCGCAAAACTAGCGTAGGTGACCTTCTATATGGAGGGACGGACAGCGGGACACATGAACAATGGCATGAAGGAACAGCGGGGTACAGCATCAGCGTGGAACAGCAACAGTGGGGTACAGCAACAGCCGTATGAGACTGAACACGGTCGCATGACAGGCTTAAGCAACTGGGCCGACGGGCACTGTGCTGGTCACATTGGTCAGGAACTTTTGTACACGTGTTAGGCACAGCCTACTGTTTTGGGAAACAACAAAAAAGCTCCAGGCAATTAAAGTCATGGCCCAGAGACCTCACAGCAATATTTGACAGCAACAAACTTGAGTTCCAGGGCTTGAAATTTGGCGACACACATACTAGAATAGTTTAATGACTCAGTCTCTTATGGTCGTGGCTATGGTTTTGGCGGCTAGCCTCATCTGCTGGGCATCACCGTAAAGCAATTCTACGAGGCTGGCTTCCGGGTTTCTCCCGTCCGCCACCGCCTCCCCCCCTCCAGGGCACGCGATAACCAACTGGGCGACCGTCTCGTCTGCCTGGCCGCATCTTCGACAGCTTGGTTCCCTTCTTTGCTCTCCTCGTTTTAGTTCCCACCAGGGATTGCTCTTGCTCGGTCGCAGCACTTTCCGGTAAAGTTGTCGTCCAGTAACCTCCACTGACTACAAACCTCCACTGACAACGACTACAAACCTCCACTGACAACAAACCTCCACTGACACTGACTACAAACCTCCACTGACACTGACTACAAACATCCACTGACAACGACTACAAACCTCTGCTGAAACCTACAAAAAACCTCCATTGACATCGACCTCGAACCACCGCTGCCCTGCAGTTGACATCCCCGACCAAAAATCCGGACAAGCGGCATGACCTTTCACTCATTGGATTGACTAGATTCGTAGAGAGGAGATGTTGCGGACAAAGAAACATTCGATTCTCCATAAATCACTGACCAAGTTTTCTGATACCAACATTTTGGGGAAAATCGATATTTTATATTTTGAATGGGGTCAGGGACCATCCATATATTACGTACCCAACACAAGTCCAAATTTTTGACCCCACTCCCACACACACTCTGTTGCATGCGTACTTTTTTGGACATACCCCTAATGCGTACATACAATGAGCTTTTGACCACACCCCCACTCTCACAAAAAACAATTAAAATTAAAACACCAAGGAAATCATATAATTTATAGATAATTATGACGTCACAGAACTGTTTCAAAAAAATAGTTCACCGCCGATTGTTTGGCGAGCCCACTGATCCCAGGTGATACGTCACGTCGCTCTGGGTACCAGGTTGCCCTCGGGCAGAGCCATGAGAACTAGGCGAAGAGGGGAGTCAACCCGGGCGCCATCACAACCCGGGTGCCATCATCAGGGGCGCCAAAATACTCTTTAGATAGGACCGTACAGTGAATTAAACGATAAAATCCCATATTAAAAGAGAAGGGGTTCTAAACTCGTCTTTTTACTGGTCCACCCCGTTGCACTTTGTTTCTGTAAGGACAAGGAGCCCCATTTCCGGCTTCACCACAGACCCCTCTTTTCCTCGGTACGGCCCTGTCCTGGTTTGCTCACGGAAAGGGGGGTGGGGGAGGAATATTACATAATGTTCACAAGTTTATTTCTACTTGTAATCCAATGGGGCATCTAGCGGTCTTGGTGCAAACACTGGAGCAACTACTGTGTGCAGTGACAAGATGGCACTTATTGCCCTGCATACTGTGTGCAGTGACAAGATGGCACTTATTGACCGACATACTGTGTGCAGTGACAAGATGGCACTTAGTGACCTACATAATGTGTGCAGTGACAAGATGGCACTTAGTGACCTACATACTGTGTGAAGTGACAAGATGGTACTTAGTGACCTACATACTGTGTGCAGTGACAAGATGGCACTTAGTGACCTACATACTGTGTGCAGTGACAAGATGGCACTTAGTGACCTACATACTGTGTGCAGTGACAAGATGGCACTTAGTGACCTACATACTGTGTGCAGTGACAAGATGGCACTTAGTGACCTACATACTGTGTGCAGTGACAAGATGGCACTTAGTGACCTACATACTGTGTGCAGTGACAAGATGGCACTTAGTGACCTACATACGTATTTTATTTATTTCGACCCATTCTTTTGTTTTCTTTTGTTAATGGTTTCGCTATTACGAGATGTATTTGTTCGAATTTAACACAGGGTGCCTGGTGAAAGCCAACATTCTTTTTAAAAACTTACGCAAGTGTATTTGGTGCATAATATTTTTTTTTTTTTTTTTTTAATTGTTGGTTAAATAAATCTGCGGTGTACAAGTGGGTGGGTCATTAAAATAATAATATATTTAAGGGCTCGAAAAAAAAAGTGGTGTTGCGTGTATGGGGGGGGGGGCACTAATCGGGACTCTTACAAAGGGCGTTACTTGTATGAAGGTTTTGTCAAATTTTCAGCCCCAGCCCTCATTGCTGGTTAATAAATTGTATAAAGTGTGTATATGAACAACTTTTGATTGCAGGTGTTGTTTGATTAAAAGTTAGCTTGTTATAGGACATTCTCAACAAAATTCTCTTCAATATTCCAACTTCCTCTCAGACAACATTCCTGCGTACAAATTTGTTTCGTAATAATTTACAGACAAGGGAGCAAGTGCGCTTGTTTTTAATCAGTTAATGTTTCTCAAACACAGGGCGCCTTTTTGTGTGTCTACTGTCTAAATGTGGGTGCCAAGATTAGCCTATGTCTAAATGTGAATGTCAAGATTAGTATTTCTAAATGTGTCAATATTAGACTATTCTAAATGTAATTGTCCATATTAACCTATGTCTAAATGGAAGTGTCAATATTAGCCTGTATCTAAAAGAAGTGTCCTTATTTACTTATATCTAAATGTAAGTGTCAATATTAGCCTATATCTAAATGTGAGTGTCAATATTAGCCTGGCTTAGCCTGTATCTAAAAGTAAGTCTCAATAAGTGTCCAGATTAACTTATATCTAAATGTAAGTGTCAATATTAGCCAAATGAAACAGACAAAGGACAAGCAAGTTTTAGCAGGATCTTAAATGCGTGTAATTAATATTTCTACGGAACTGATTTTCCCAAAATAATGTATATATATGTGGCAGGGTAGGCCACGCTATTATTACGAAACCATGTGTAGCGCACAACGCGGTGTGGAATTTGAACTCGGGGTTAGGTTATAATAACTTTGCAGCATGGAGGGAATGAGCCTCTTACCAATCGCGAAGAATACTTAAATATTGGAGCCTATTACGTGTGCTATTGGTTCAAGTTCAATTATGTATTTCCCGGGAACCCTGGTGTATTAAGTAATAAAGTATATCTTGTCGGAAAGTGGATTTTATTCCCTATACATTTACAAGTCTACATCTTAAGTGGGTATTGGAATATTCAGAAATTACTGGAGTTTTCGGCTTCATCCATAGCGGTCCCCACCCCTTCTAGTTAAAAGAACTTATAGAAATATAAGAATGTTTCTTAGATGGCCGAGACCTAACTGAAAAGGAAACATTTAAGTCTTTAGGGGGGGGGGGTTGATCCGGAATGTTACTTTCATTTGGGTTGGAGTCGCTAGAGGTTTGCTAATTGACCACAGGCTGTTGGGTTGGAGTCGCTAGAGGTTTGCTAATTGACCACAGGCTGTTGGGTTGGAGTCGCTAGAGGTTTGCTAATTGACCACAGGCTGTTGGGTTGGAGTCGCTAGAGGTTTGCTAATTGACCACAGGCTGTTGGGTTGGAGTCGCTAGAGGTTTGCTAATTGACCACAGGCTGTTGGGTTGGAGTCGCTAGAGGTTTGCTAATTGACCACAGGATGTTGGGTTGGAGTCGCTAGAGGTTTGCTAATTGACCACAGGCTGTTGGGTTGGAGTCGCTAGAGGTTTGCTAATTGACCACAGGATGTGTGCCAGAGCGCGAGTAAAGGACTTTCCCAGTGACCGTGTGACGTAGTGCTCTCTGGTCAGTCCGCGCGCTCTATTAAGTCTTTGATTCAAATTTTAAACGCATCACTAAAGTGCGCCTTGTTTCCTGCGCCCCATTTGGACGCTCTAAGAATGTCCTTTTTCTTGAGCGTTTTTTCTACATTGTCGACTTTTTCTTTGGGCGTTTTCTTTAGCCCTTTTTCTTCAGCATTTGTCTCTTGGTGTGCAAATAAAGCTATAGTCCTCTGGTGTGCAAATAAAGCTATAGTCCTCTGGTGTGCAAATAAAGCTATAGTCCTCTGGTGTGCAAATAAAGCTATAGTCCTCTGGTGTGCAAATAAAGCTATAGTCCTCTGGTGTGCAAATAAAGCTATAGTCCTCTGGTGTGCAAATAAAGCTATAGTCCTCTGGTGTGCAAATAAAGCTATAGTCCTCTGGTGTGCAAATAAAGCTATAGTCCTCTGGTGTGCAAATAAAGCTATAGTCCTCTGGTGTGCAAATAAAGCTATAGTCCTCTGGTGTGCAAATAAAGCTATAGTCCTCTGGTGTGCAAATAAAGCTATAGTCCTCTGGTGTGCAAATAAAGCTATAGTCCTCGAGAGCTGCATTTGTTTTATTGTATTTTAGTCAAACTGTCAGCCTTGGTCCACCATCACCAAACACCCACCTTGCTACAGTTTTTGGCGCTGCGAGCAGGGTTCTCAAAGTGTGTCACACATACACGTACACAACCCTCCAGTAGCCATCACCATCATCACACTACTACATATAGAGAGAATATAGGGAAGATATTTGATGGAAATCAAAACTCAAATTACTGTTAAACATTAAAATAATAAAAAACCAATTCTGAAGTGGAGAGTATTGGTTTCGTGGACTTCCAGTCTACTTTATTTTGAAGACCAGTTTGTAAAACTGCAAGGACTACTTCAAATAAATACAGAAGACATTTTCTTTAGAGGATATAACGTATAAATATGTATCAATAATGCATGGCTATTATATAGTGTAAGAAGAAATCAGAGACTGAGGTATATAAACTCTGAACAGATTCATCAATAGATTAAACATTACCAAATATATCCGTGGAAAGAAAACACTGCAAGAGGGTGAGTTCAAACTATATTAGGGAGTTTCACAGTCATACTGCACACTACATCAAGTCCTTGCGACTTGTACTACTACAGTACATGGTTATTTAGGACTAATAAAAAACATTCGTTTTTTCTTATGTGATTCTATCAACTTGATGTACATTCAACATGTTGTTACAACACAATGTTGTATTGTTGTATCTAAAGCATTCATGGGTTTACTTTAAAGTGGTATTAAAATAGGATCCCTTTGTTTTGGACTACATTATATATTTCATGAATACCCCGAGGAAGTACATGGAATGAATCCAGTCCTGTAATTTCATGTTTTGTTTCTACAAAATTCCGTTTTACTTGAAAATAATTTTCTGGGTGAGGTTAAAAATTATGTTGCCTTATCCACAGATCATATATACCCTGATGCTTGCTCTTCTGGCCAGTAAAATAGCGGCACATACAATGTAGGGCATTGTTAAAATTCTATGAAAAGTGTTACACACACAAATGTTAAATTCAATACCATTCCGCCAACATCAAGGTCCTGCCATACATGGGGCCTATTATGACAATCAAAATATGACATAAATGTTAAAATATAAAAAAACATGCCTCCATAGTATGCTTTAATAAATATAAAATGATACAGAGATCACAAAAATAAAAAACATGGTTAATATCTCTATCAAAAAGTAATGAGACATGTTTACAAAAAATGGCGATGTAAAAATATAGTTTAATATAATGAGATGCGGATATTAGTATTTAAATAATGTTACACACAAAAGAAAGGGGGGGGGGGGGAAATGGCAACTTTTGGTGCCAGGAAAATGGGGAATGTTTTTTTCTAAAGCTTTTAATCATCGGTATGGCCATTCAAGCGAAGTGTTATTTCTTTTTTTTTACAATTGACAGAGAGCGTAAAAAGGTTTTCCATTAAAATTATTATTAGATTTTTCCTAGAAATGATAATGATTTTTTAAATTTCAATTGATCTTTTCACCAACATTGATGGCTGTCATTATCAATGTAGATTAGTATATTTGTAGTGTTACTGTCCAAATATGTTTGTGCTCAAGTTAAAACTGGCAAAAAGATCCTTTTGGAAACATTGGATTGCCTTGCCCTAGCACTCCTCCAAAAGTTAGATAAATTATATAAAATATAAATAACAAAGAGTCTATTTTTTAATGGAACTAGAAATGAAGAACTAGAAATAGAGAACTAGACCAAGAACTAGAACAAGAACTAGAAATTGCTCCAAGGTTGTTGAGGAGGATTGAAATTAAAAAATGAGCACCCTGAAACTGACATAGATGCACACCAACTAACAGTTCATTGTCCCACTCTAGGTGACACTGGAAAAGTTTCATGTCAACCATTGACAGCACAGTGCTGCCCCCATCACAGATCCAGAGCAAACATAGTTTTGTTGACATGACAATGTTGAGATTCAGTGGATAACCTTCTATGATATGATAACAGATAACAGAGATGTCATACCAACTACCGCAGACTGCATAATCAATCAACATCTGACAGATAAATGCATCACAATTTATGTTCAAACCAACATTTTACAGATAATGCATCACAAGTCATGTTCAACATTAAAGTTAGGCGTACACCCAAAATTAAAAGTTTGTGCATAATTACATTAGAATTAGACATGATAATTACATTAGAATTAGACATGATAATTTGCTTTAGGTAATGAAAAATTGTTTTTTCTCTGCTTATCAAAGCTACATTTTTTACTTCAAAATGCTTGGTATTGGACACAATTACTCTGTTCAACTGTCAGAATTATACAAACCAAAAACAAATTCAATTAAAATACTTTTTTAAAATATAAAAATCTGCTTTTAAAAAAGGTTTTCAACAAGTCCCAAACAAAATGCAAACCATTCAAATAAAGAACTGGGAGGGGATTTTACACCTCAAAGAACCCAGGACTATCACTCAGAGAACCCTTGAGGATTAATTAGAGGACCCTTGAGTAAGAATTGGAGAACCCTTTGCATTATTTAACGAAAACATTTATTTGCACAATTGTTCCTAACCTGTAATGCATCTGAACAAATGAAAGACTCTTCAAATATCAAACCTTGACAACATGTATGTGTACATGGAATAGATCTAGGGTGCATCTGGAGCAGCCTGGTTGTGTTCATGTACAAGGAACAGATGCCAGAACATGTACAACAGATAGATTTACATTGATTGTGGACTACTACAGGGAATATATGTAAGGGTACATATACAGACAATTTTTATGAATGTGTACAAGGTACAGACACCTGTACATGTACAACAAATAAGATTTGGGTTGAGTGTGCACAATGACAAGGAGAAGATGAAATCTGTTATGAATGTGTACATGGAAATGGAATAGCTGTTGGTACATGTGAAAACAGCTGAACTCAGCCATGATACATTTAACCTAGTTATAGTATTAATTAGGCACTTGTAGAAGTAATGTCAGTTCATGGGATTCATACAGTCAAAAGTATTGAGACTTACAACACAGATTATGCAGTAGATCAATGGACACATTCTTTCACTACTTTCAGTGTGATCAACTCAAACACCTTTTTTAAGAACTTGACACACTATCTGTGTAAAATGCAAATGATTCTCTGTGATTTAGTAATAACCATTGTGAATCTCTTATAATAATAAATGTGGTTTTAGTTGATATAATAGACAATCTAATTGCTGCAGAAAATATTTCAAAAGATACATCAAAATGTTTAAATACAGAGAGAAATAGATACAGGATGCTGAGGTATTCATGGGTGAATGTATGGTCATATGGAGCAAATATGGCATATGTGACATATGACATGCATGTGGCATGTAAAAAATAAAACACTTGCAACACAATGCACATTTGACCCTAGGTGTAGGATAGCAAAAAGATTTATCTGAAAAAATGGTTCTGATTTAATTATGATTTTTTTTTTTTAGACTACACACACACACACAAATCATGATGTGGTCAATTACATATCGGAAACCTCTTGTTAAAAAAAACGTGTGTTTTGAAAATCATTTCAAGATGTTAAAAAGAAGAGACTTTTCACATAAAATTCATAAAATCATTTTGCACATGTGATTATTTTTTTTAATGATTTGAAGAACAATTATTTTTAAATTTTCATGCTAAAACTGCCAGCTGAGGAAAATCTATTCTACTTTTGATTTCATAATTTACTGCCGTCATCAACAACAGATGGCTCTAATTGGAAACATTGAGCCTGGCTCAATCAAAGTAATGACTACTGAACCAGCAACAGCTTCAATGAATTGATCAGTTGTGCTACAAATTGAGCAGTGACACTGATTTCTCAGCACAATTTGACACTGATTTCTCAGCACAATTTGACACTGATTTCTCAGGACACACATAAACTTTGTTGTAAAATTTAAACCTTGAATAAATGTGCTTCACATTAAACCTTGTTCTTGCAACCGGTCTCATTCAAGGGGTAAAAATATTCTCTCTTTGAGCATGATAGAGACAGATGTCAAGGAAAAAGTGTTGAGGACAAATGTCAAGGGAAAGGTGTTGATGAGGACAGATGTCAAAGGAAAGGTGTTGATGAGGACAGATGTCAAAGGAAAGGTGTTGATGAGGACAGATGTCAAGGGAAAGGTGTTGATGAGGACAGATGTCAAAGGAAAGGTGTTGATGAGGACAGATGTCAAGGGAAAGGTGTTGATGAGGATAGATGTCAAGGGAAAGGTGTTGATGAGGATAGATGTCAAGGGAAAGGTATTGTGGACAGATGTCAGAGAAAAGGTGTTGATAACAGATGTCAGGGGAAAGGTGTTGTGAGGACAGCTGTCAAGGGAAAGGTGTTGCTGAGGATATATGTCAAGGGAAAGGTGTTGGTGAGGACAGGGAAAGGTGCTGAAATACATGTATTAGTAGTGCAAGGAAATTGTCACAACAATTAGTATAAGTTACAAAAATGAACCACTATAAGTGTTCCAACAATTACCTCAATAGTGCTATAGTGGGGACACACAACAGTGTCCCAACAATTTATCTCAATAGTGCGATAGAGGGGACACACACTGTATACAGCATGATCTGTTTGAACAAATAAAATGGGACCTTGATTTTGTCAACTTTAGAACCAAGCTGAGTTTAGAACTGAGCAGAGTTTAGAACTGAGCTGAGTTTAGAACAAAAAAAATAAGGACTACAGCTCTGTAAATGTGTAAAACATGCAACTAATTATTTTTTTTAAATTAAGTTATTATGTTATAATAATTTTTTTTAAAATTTAGGTAATTGATTGCAAAATTCATATCTGTGAATTTCAAACAACTGCACAGCAAAAAAAGGCAAAGTTCCTAAAATTTTGCACATACAAAATTTTGTGCAATCTTTGAGGCAAAGAAAAATTAGGAGAAAAATTACTGGAAACTATTGAGATAAATTTGCTAATTGACCATATACATTGGTAGGAAGTAGAGCAAGATATGAAGACATTTGACAATAGATTTAATTAAATGTTATCATTTCCAAATGAGCCGCCAAAAAAGAAGAGTCATGTCATTAATATGTGACTTAATCTGCATTCAATTAATTTATTCAGAGCAATAATTATTTTGGCAAATACTCAAGTTGTTGTAAATTAATTATGAATCAATTTAGTATTTAGCAATTAATATAAATTACACTATCTAATGACCCAGTGAATATTTATTATGTCATTTATTTTTTGATCAACTTAATTCTATGACGTAATTTAAAGTAATGCAATCATTCTGCAGACCTCTGGCGATTGTCTCTGGTGGATATGTAAAGGGAGGGGTTGGCCAGAGAAATCAAATCATTTGTTGAAAATTGCTCATTTGTGGCATTTCCATTTACCTCAAAGTAATTCTACATGTTGGTGTCCATGGACTCTCATGGAGTTCATGATATATAAATACTAACGAGCCCCCTGATGTAAAGCATATAAAAAAATAATTATAACAAATCTACAAATATATTATTATGTTATCTCTAAATATTTACAATAGATTTTCAGGGGTTTTTTTAACAACAGAAATCAAACACAAGTGTAATGAGATTTTTGTGTGGCTCCGGTCAACCGTGGAGCTCCAGCTGTTGAGGCTCACCATGGCTGCTTTTATAGAAATACATGATATATGAACTACGCATGTTGTTGTTAGTTGTTGACATATATGAACTTTGGCACTAATATATATTATATATATATAGATAGATTGTTAAATTTCATGGACTTGGCACACCAAGGCCCTGTCAAAGAATTTTTTTTTTGTTTGTTTAAAAATTCAATTATAATAACTAGCACCTTGGATGCAATGAATACTCTGATAAGATTGTAATTAAGTACCAGAAATTAATTTCCTCTTATAAAAAATTGAGTTTATTTGTCAGTAACCAATAACTATAAAATTTTGATTTTTTTAAATTGGTTTTAATGCCTGACAGCCAAAATTTGAACTTTTTAAAAATGTGTTAACTTTTCAAATATTTAGCATCTGAGCCAATAATGATATTTAAAACGCTGGCCTAAAATTCATAATTTAAGATTTGTTTACCATAAAAAATACACGAAAATTTAATACAAAAATATTTAGTAAGAACTAACAAAACAGAGGCTTAGTTATTAACCTGCTTGGACAATGTGTTTAAACACAGACCACTTTGACACTTGACCAACAACACAGATGACAATATATACATGAATATCAGTTGTGCAAATGAAATGAAGAAGAATTCTTACAAACAAGGTTATGTTGGTAGAGAAAAAAGTACAAATTGTTATAAGACTACCTCGCTACATCCACAGGACTATATAATAAATCGAATAAACTTGTAATATTATAAATTAAACAAGAGATATGAACATGTCTCAATATTGTGAACCAATAAAAAGAAAAAGAGCTGTATATATATTCTTCTATAAAATATAGTGTTACGTAGCTTGAGCTCAAATTACAATGTAAAGGCAATCCATTAAAAGACCCTCATTAAAATGAGCAATGACAAAATAGAATAGGTTCATGCTTTAAAGTCTGTTTACAAATAAAGTGGAGAAAAAATACATCTTTTAAAATCTTCTTTAGATAAGCTACTGTAGAAAATATTTAAAAATTTTAAATTTAAAAAAATATTCAGAGAATACTGATTCCATTAAAAAAAGGTGTGTACAACTTTTAAATTATTGTTGGTCTGTTAAAGTTGAAACTAAAACAAGAAATAATGTAAAACTAGAGCTTCTGACTTTGAAGACCTTGTTATGTGATCTGATGTGATGGGTATGTGATCTCATGTGATGGTTATGTGATCTGATGTGATGCTTATGTGATCTGAAGTGATGCCTATGTGATCTGATGTGATGCCTATGTGATGTGATATTTGTGAGTTTGATGATTTTTAAAAAAAAATCTGTACATCTTTTACATTTTAGCTTTTGATTTTTCTATCCAATATTCTGATCGTTTTAATTTTAAATAATTTTTTTTTTTTATTAAAAAATAAGCCATCAATGAACGATGATCAATGCAATAAAATAATTTAAACAAATAACTATATATGAGCTGGAAGTTATTTTGATGTGAACAGAATATCTTGATATAGTCTACAACGGTAGTGGTCAAAGTAAATTCCAGCATGGAACAATTTCATTTTTTTAAATATCAAATCTAGCACAAAAATAGTTTATGGCTGCAAATAAGTGGTCCTTAATTATGTAGAACGTTAGGCTGTGTATCTTTGAGTTTGATTGGTTAGGCTGTGTATCTTTGAGTTTGATTTTTAAAATTAACTATGGACTTCAAACACTATTTAAAAACACTTCAGTGTTAAACATTACTTGAGCAGAGGCAAATACAGCAGGGGTACCGGTACATGCTACAGCAGGGGTACCGGTACATGCTACAGCAGGGGTACCGGTACATGCTACAGCAGGGGTACCGGTACATGCTACAGCAGGGGTACACACAAGGGGTGCATACATCCCACATCCCCATTAGTTTTCATAAGAGTAAGAAATAATATAGATTTTTATTTTAGGATTATATTTGTGATTTAGGCTGAGAATAAATGTTATTTGGTGAAAATTTGATCTTGTGAACTGAGCATTATGCTCATTGTACACAAAAGGTAAAATAACACACAAGATATCAAATACCACAGGTTCTAAACAATATGGTTTAGACACTTGCTGGACTGCAAACAGACTCAAGTACCGGGTGATCTCATTATTACAATTTTTCAACACATATTTTGACGAAAAATCAGGTGGGAAAAAAAATTCTACATTGTTTTACTAGCAATTTTTGGCCAAAAAATATTTTTGCAGTGGCCTTGAAATGTACAATGAGTTTTAAAACAAGAAAGATCCACTGCTTTATAAAGTGTTGATGAAACACGCAGACACTCCTCACTAAAAGAACTGGGTTTTACAATAACATCTCCCAAACACTTAAAACACTCAAATACTGGACGTTGCTAACGGTCAACTTGGGTTAACTCTCAAGGGCATTTCTGTTGTCCTGGTTGAAAATTCTGACCTGCTCCATGACCTTGAGGTAGTTGGGGGGAGGTGAGGTCAGGCCATTGTCAGGGAAGCTCTCCAGGTAGCGGATGTAATCTTCAGGGAGGTTGTTCTGCTTGGCCCCCCTTACAATAACTTCCTTGTAGTGAGGACTGGGAAGGTGGTTGCCTGTTGTATTCTGATGCATCTCATAGCTGCGGCATCCCACAGTTCTGCCATCTTCCATCTCTATGGTTACTTGGATGGGTTGGTAGAATGTTTCCTGGCTGTAGACAAAAATAACATTTTATGCATCACCTAGATATTAAAAACCACCAGTGGTCAAAAACTTGTGATGCTGACAGAAGTTAACACCAGAGGTCAGACACTTGTGATGCTGACAGAAGTTAACACCAGAGGTCAGACACTTGTGATGCTGACAGAAGTTAACACCAGTGGTCAAAAACTTGTGATGCTGACAGAAGTTAACACCAGAGGTCAGACACTTGTTATGCTGAAAGAAGTTGACACCAGAGGTCAGACACTTGTGATGCTGAAAGAAGTTGACACCAGAGGTCAGACACTTGTGATGCTGACAGAAGTTAACACCAGAGGTCAGACACTTGTGATGCTGACAGAAGTTAACACCAGTGGTAAAAAACTTGTGATGCTGAAAGAAGTTGACACCAGAGGTCAGACACTTGTGATGCTGAAAGAAGTTGACACCAGAGGTCAGACACTTGTGATGCTGAAAGAAGTTGACACCAGAGAAGCTCCCTCACCAAAACACCCCACAGTAAAACAAACGAGACCACAAAGTTTAGTTCTGCCAATCTCATAACTTTCATCAGAGGCTATCTGTATAAGGGCTGTAGGGGAGAAAGCACTAAAAATAGCCTATTTCCCTCAACAGATAAGACAGTTTTGACCAACACAAAGGCAGCTTGTTTTAATGATGGTTGTTGGAGAAATGTTTAACCCATGGCAACTGTAATCAGACTGCCCCATCATGGAACTCCACTCTACCATCATCACAGAACTCCACTCTACTACCATCACAGAACTCCACTCTGCCACCATCACAGAACTCCACTCTGCCACCATCACAGAACTCCCCTCTACTACCATCACAGAACTCCACTCTACTACCATCACAGAACTCCACTCTACTACCATCAAATAACTCCACTGTACCACCATCACAGAACTCCACTCTACTACCATCACAGAACTCCACTCTACCACCATCACAGAACTCCACTCTACTACCATCACAGAACTCCACCCCACCACCATCACAGAACTCCACTCTACTACCATCACAGAACTCCACTCTACCACCATCACAGAACTCCACTCTACCACCATCACAGAACTCCACTCAGCCACCATCACGGAACTCCACTCTGCCACCATCACCATTTTATCTGCAATCACATCAATAAAAGTTGGTGATTCTGATATCCCCTTGTCCCACACTGTCAGAGACCTTGGCTTTTACACTGACAGTAAACTTACTATGATCCCTCATATCAGTTCTGTGGTCATTGCTTGTTTCTGTCATCTACACGCCCTGGATCAGGTGCGTCCTCAACTTAATAAGAGAACAGCCAATTCCGTAGCAGTCAATCTAATCCAATCAAGATTAGATTACTGTAACAGTTCTTCAAAACCAATTCAGAGACTCAAGAAGGTACAAAATACTGCAGCACGCATTGTATCCTGGGTTAAAAAAATCTGACCACATCACCTCAGTTCTACAAGATCTCCATTGGGTTTCTGTGAGTCAGCGCATTAACCACAAAATTCTGTCCCTGACATTCAGCCGTATGGAAGGCTCTCCACCGGGATATCTAAAAGAACTTATTTCCAAACATGTATTCTTAAAGAGGCTGTGCTCTTCATCACAGTTCCTACTGCGAGAGTTCCCAATGTGGATGAACACAGAAAGAAGTCATGCTGAGTGCGCTCTTTAGAAACCTAATTTATAGAACACTTTGCCTCAGTCTTTGAGGGATTTTAAAAATGATAAAACATAATTTAAGAGCCATTTAAAGACATTTTTTTATATAAAAACTTAATGACATCAGAGCGCTTTGAGCATACACACAAGCATTATACATCATTATCATGGAATTCCACTCTGCCCCCATCATGGAACCCCACTCTGTCCCCATCATGGAACCCCACTCTGTCCCCATCATGGAACCCCACTCTGTCCCCATCATGGAACCCCACTCTGTCCACATCATGGAACCCCACTCTGTCCCCATCATGGAACCCCACTCTGTCCACATCATGGAACCCCACTCTGTCCACATCATGGAACCCCACTCTGTCCCCATCATGGAACCCCACTCTGTCCCCATCGTGGAACCCCACTCTGTCCCCATCATGGAACCCCACTCTGCCTCCATCATGGAACCCCACTCTGTCCCCATCATGGAACCCCACTCTGCCCCCATTCATTATTAATAGAGATGTATCTATCTTTATGGTTATAATGGAACAAGTTATGATGGTTTTATGGTACAAACTTAAAAGTATTAGGGACTTGCCTATATTTATAGTTACGACACAATTAATTAAGCTTAAAATAGTAGTACATGTTGGTCTTTTTAAAATTAGATATTCCAAAAGATCTGACGTACCTGTCCAGAAATGCCATATGCTCAGATTTGATTTTCCAAACAACACCATAAACATATTCATTGCAACTGGGCCTTATAGTGGCTGATGCACCATGCCAAAGGCTTGGCTCATGATCTCTAGGTACGTCATATGTCAGTCTCCAGCCCTGGGTAACCAATAGTTCATTCGGGTTATATTAGAAACATCACAAATGAAATTGGTACAAATTTTCTTGCCACACATTGTTGTTCCCTTAACACTTTATTTTTCTTTAAATACAATAATGTCTCAGGGCCTTTCACAGAACAAAAATGTGAGGAGGGGTTCTCACTCAAACTGAGACGTAAAAAGATCGGCTAATATTATCAATTCAAAAGGAAAAGATTGTCTCAAAGTAATGATTTACAATTTTAAAAATGAGATTTTTTGAAGCACTAAGTAGAGTTAGCACTTTTTTTAAAGTCTACCACCTGCCCTCAACAACTAAGTGGCATGAGTTTCTCTTACCCCTAAGGGTCATTCACTGCTGCAGTAACAGATTTAACAATTCAATCATCAGTCATTTTCACTTTAAGTTACAAAAAAATCCTTTACCCCCAACCCTCCAAACCCTGTACTTGAAAGGGAAATAAATGTATTGCCTTTGTGATGAGTTGTTGCCCTTTCATTCAGTAGAAAATCTAAATATTTTATAGCGAGATTACTTACATTTAGTTTTCCTACTCCAAAAAGCACAGCTGTTGGGTTGTTAATGTGAATTCTCTCCTTCATCAAATTGCTGCCATAGGAGAAATAGAGAAATGTCTCTTCATGACAGTCTACATTCACATCTCTGTGGATTTCTCCATTCACTTTTCTGTGGATCTCTCCATTCACTTCTCTGTAGATCACTCCATTCACTTGTCTGTCAATCTCACCATTCACTTCTTTGTGGATCTCTCTGTTCATTCTTTGAAATCGGCTTATAAACTTTAAACTGCAACCTCAAGATTGTTACTTTTGTTTTCAGAGCATGAAGAGGGTTGTGATCCTGCGGCTGTATTCTTGTGATGTAATGTCTTGGTTGAGAGAACTTAAAAACTGCCTCTACCATGAGTGGCAAAATCTGGGCTCATTGTAGGTTGCCTTGGTCAGCCTAAAAATGTCTGTGAAAGAAAGAAAGGAAATGTATTATTACATTGGAATTGTGGTCACAACCCACTCCCATGTGGTCACAACCCAATACCATGTTGTCACAACCAGCTACCATGAGGCCATAATCCACTTCCATGAGGTCACAAAGCACTCCCATGTGGTCACAACCCACTCCCATGTGGTCATAAAATATTGTGTTGCTGGTGAGAAGAAAAATTCTACATAATCTTGCAGCACACAGTACTAAATTGACCTACTTTGGCCTGACTACTTTTGTTTCAAACATTTTTATTTTGATAGGATATGAAGTATTTTTGTTATGTTTTGGTTCACATGTTAAATGTTAATTTCAAAAGACGTTCCGAACAAAATAAGACAGACTAATACACAAGCTGTTCAAATCATTTCTTTTAATTTTAATCCATTAGAATAACCACAATTCACATATGAATAAGAAAAATACAACAGACACTGAAGTAAATGTCATCAGGTGAGTTACAGGGGCCGAATTGTATCTCAACAGGTTAGATATTTTGACAAATCAATTTTTAAAAAAAATAAAAATTTTAAAGCTAATTTTTTTTTAATGCATCAAATAATTTTTTTTTCTAAAATGAAGAACATATTAGAAAACAAATTCCCTAATTAATATTTATCTACAACAGGTTACAACAACAACACTTAAAGAATATACTATGACACTCAGTAGTTTTTAATGTTGGCATTGTTGACATTTGTGTTGGAGAGATGTAAAACTCTTGTTAACCACTGTATCACATCATTACCATGGTTACAGGCTGTTTTGGCAATTGAAATAATTATGAAGTGACTAGTGAATAGGCCCTTGACTGTTACTTCAAACATCCTTTGGTTTCTGATGTGATTTACTTCACATCCTGATGTGATTTACTTCACATCAAGCATTCTTTGGTTTCCAATGTGATCGAATTCACATCAAGCATCCTTTGGTTTCCAATGTGATTTACTTCACATCAAGCATCCTTTGGTTTCCAATGTGATTTACTTCACATCAAGCATCCTTTGGTTTCCAATGTGATTTACTTCACATCAAACATCCTTTGGTTTCCAATGTCATTTACTTCACATCAAGCATCCTTTGGTTTCCAATGTGATTTACTTCACATCAAGCATCCTTTGGTTTCCAATGTCATTTACTTCACATCAAGCATCCTTTGGTTTCCAATGTGATTTACTTCACATCAAACATCCTTTGGTTTCCAATGTCATTTACTTCACATCAAGCATCCTTTGGTTTCCAATGTGATTTACTTCACATCAAGCATCCTTTGGTTTCCAATGTGATTTACTTCACATCAAGCATCCTTTGGTTTCCAATGTGATTTACTTCACATCAAGCATCCTTTGGTTTCCAATGTCATTTACTTCACATCAAGCATCCTTTGGTTTCCAATGTGATTTACTTCACATCAAACATCCTTTGGTTTCCAATGTCATTTACTTCACATCAAGCATCCTTTGGTTTCCAATGTCATTTACTTCACATCAAGCATCCTTTGGTTTCCAATGTGATTTACTTCACATCAAGCATTCTTTGGTTTCCAATGTGATTCTAAGCATTTGAGATCAATGAGGAAACATGGCATAAAAAAATAGGCAATATATATTGCCATCGGTCTAATGATGTCCAATCAAGGAGATAAAGAAAGACTTGGTGTTAGTTTTATGATTAATATCTTTCCACGACAAAGTTTAAAATTTTTTCAGATAAAAGCTATGGGCCCCTTTTTGAAGACCATTGTCACAAAGTCCAGCTATAGCTAGCTCCTACAAAGTCCAGCTATAGCTAGCTCCTACAAAGTCCAGCTATAGCTAGCTCCTATTTCTTCAAAACTAAAAAAGCACAAAAATAAAGCAGCGCTCAAGAAATTAAAAAGCTATACATCACAGCTTTATACTCTCATACTTTATGGCATAATTCATATTATATATTAGGAAAGTAAGAGTTATTTTTTAAAATAGAATATAAATAAGAAATATACTCATTACATGAAGTTTATAGGTTTTTACATTGTTTTAAAATAATTTATATTTGCAATGTAATACCCATACAAAAATATTTTTAATAAATGGAGATGTAAGTGAGAAAATGCAGGAGAAATAAGCAGACCAGTACAATGTGTTGCTTTAACTCTCTAATTGCACGATTCAGGTTTTCCAAATTTTACAGGAGACACTAAAAACATAATAACTTTTGACACAAACTTTTAAAACATTGGGTTAGAATATGTGACAGAAAATTCTACTTTTAGTGAAATTCAACATTTTTGACAAGGCAATGGCATGAGAATTCAAAGGTTTTTTTAAATAAATTTCAAATAAAAACAATGTTTAAAAAAAAATAATAATAAATAAAATCATGCTTAACAAAATAATTTTAATGCACCACATTTAGAGAGTTATGATGATGGTGATGATCAAAAAAGATTATATGAGAATACTGGTGCATTTTTAGTTGGGATTACAATTGTTTTTATTGGTTGCATATTTGTGAACAATTTTAAACTATGTTCCACCATTAAGACATTTTTACTCAGAGTTGAACAGAAGGAAATAATAAGAATTTTTTTAAAAAGGTTTAGGGCACCATTTACCATGTAATTTTAAAACATAATAGGATGAGCTTTTTATTTTGTTATGTTCTTAACATGTGCTCTCGTGGAAGACCCTGTTCACAATTTTTTATAAATGCATTTCTAGACCCCAAATAATGGAACCTCTATTATTAGTTCTTTTTTTTAACATTGCCAACTATAAAATAATATTATATGTGCATTATGATATTTAAAGAACATGTCACAAGAGTTTTCATTTGGACTATCAGTCTACAGAGCCAAAGGAAATGAGGATTTAAAAAGTGGAAAAGTTAAAAAATAACAGGAAACGAGCAAGACTAGTTGGAACACTTTGCAGAAAAATATCAAAATATTAAACTATAGAAACAAAAGCTGACTTTTTATATGCATTAATCTAAATAGCTTTGCAATCAACAGTTTCAACTCATCACTTTGAAGAGTCTAAAGTTTAGTTAACTTTTAACTACTTCTTATTTTTAAAAAACATACAATAAAGTTATAATAAAATTAAATTAAAAACTTATAATCAAATAAAAACTTAGTCAATAAAAGCTGGGGATATACACCCTAAAATAAAAACTATAGAAAAACTATAATAAAATAAATAAAATGATGGCCAGATATGAAATTCATCCTTTTGTTCTGGACTTTGTTTCAAATAAAAAAAAAGTTGGATAGCCAGTGGATATAATAACATATTGTTAAAAAAATTCTAACAGAAAACAAGAAACTAGAACTAAAAAAAAAGCATTCCCAAAACTCATTGAAACAATGGAGACAAGAAATTCTTTTGGAACTTTTCAGATAATTTAATGGTGTGAAAAAGTGTCAGATAACCGGGCAGGAAGAAACAGATTTCTAGGACAGGGGCAGACATGCAGACTAATATAGTTTCTCTTGGTCTAGGACAGGGACAGGGCAGGCATGCAGACTACTATAGTTGCTCCTGGTCTAGAACAGGGACAGACACCACTAGTTCCTCCTGGTCTAGGACAGGGGCAGACTACTCTAATTGCTCCTGGTCTAGGAGCTGTTTTTCTTGAATTTTTCTGCTTCACTGCTGCCATCTTCTTCAGTTCTAAAAGTTTCGACCATATCCATGACCTTACGATAGTTGGGTGGAGTATCTGTAACCCCGTTGTCTTGGAAACTTTCCAGATATTCTATGTATTCATCGGGTAGTCCATTTTGTTTGGCTCCATCTATGAGAACTTTCTTATAGTGTGGGCTGGGCAGGGAATAACCTGTAGTGTTTGGTTGCATCTCATAAGTCCGACATATCACCATTTCTCCATCACCATTCTCCACTGAAACTTCTATTGGATGGTAATAGGCTTCTTGACTGTGGAAAAAAAAAAAAATTCTTTTTCTAATTTTTTATTAGATTTTAGCATTATTTTTAAACGAAGCCAAAATTCCTCTCCCTTTTTTTTTTTGCTGTTGTGATTATGCAAAATATCTCTTCTTTTGTTTTGAATTTTTAATATTAAAATTTTGAAATTCTTAAGAGGGGATTCATCAAAATAAAGTCACAAGAATAATTCAATATATTTAGTTCATCAAGAAAATGGCAGTTGATTAAGAATGACTTTGTTGAAGGAGACTGAGTTCATGCAGGTAACAGAGTTTGTTTTAAAAACAGTCATATACAAACTGTCGTAATTATACAGATACCATAATGGTGCTTGTATTTGTAAAGAAAATAAAAGTATACATTTGGGTTCTGCTGATTAAGTCTAGAACATTTCAGGGGATCGTTCTTATAAAAGTGAAAAGATTTACGCACAGTCACTGAATGTCTTCTGTACCAGCATGGACACATAATGCCGAAGCTCGCTACTCTACTTAAGCCAAAAAATTTTTTTAACTATTGCTAAAAATAATTACCTGTCCAGACTGTCCATATCCTCTAAGTGGACAACCCATATGACACCACATACATAGCTGTCACTTTTTGGACGGACAGTTGCTGCAGCTCCATACCATCGACTTTTTCCACAGCCAACTGGCGTGTCAAACCTCAGGTGATAGCCCTGAGTAAAACAAAAAAGAATGAAAAATAAACTTATGTTCCTGCAGTTATATACCACACTGAGAATATCTGAGCGAATGACATACAGCTAATAGAAACTATGCCTCATGAGTGTGGTCCTGTTTAATGCGACACAATGACCCATCCTCCCATCAATCCCATCTAGAGTCCCATCACTCTCTGAAAATGGCACCTTGCTTTTAAGGGCTAATCATGCCATCAAATAGAAGCTCAGCAATGAATCCATTGTTAGACAACCCAGGTGATAATGAACAGCAATTAGAAGATTAATACTCACATGCAGTTTGCCCGTGCCATGGATTTCAGCTGTAGGGTTATTAATGAGTATCCTCTCTCTCAACAAATTGCTGCCGTACGAAAAATACTTGAACGTGTTCAATGTCAGGTCCCCATTCATTGTAATAATCTTAATCTTATTGGTCTTGATAATGAGCAGGCCAGGTTTGTTACTTAAAGATCAGTTTTTAGTTGGAGGAGGCATTCAACGTCTCTGCCAGATTTTGACAGAAGACTAATTGTTTGTCATTTAAGTGGGCAACAGACCGGAGGTGAAGATGGCATGGAATAGTGTCGTTAGGAAATGGTAGAGATGGATGGACAGTTCTTTGGGTCTCGGATCCTGGGGAAATATAAATATAAGAGTGACGGAGATACCCTGATATTCATCAAGGCTTCAGTCTTCTCCTTTTCATATTTCCCAGTCAGCTTGATTGAAACAATCACACACACAAAAAACATCTGAATTTATGTTTGAATAGTTCAAGGCTTAATTTAATGGTGAAATTTTTTTAATGAGTTTAAGTAATACTATTTTTTTAAATTCTGCAGTCTAGAGCAAGTCAAAACATGTAAAGAGCAATATAAAATTAGCTAAAAAGAGCTTGTAAGCCTCAGAAACTGCCCAAACATGACTGAAGTTTTCTTTATTCAGTGGAAACAAAGAAAAGGGGGGACCTCAAAGAAGAAAAGTAGTCAGTGTGCAGACCATGTAATCAGTGAGTTGTATGATTATCTACCACTATAATTGAAACATACCCCACTTTTTAAACAGTTAGTAATTAAGAGATGGCCCCAAATATCATACAATTTCAGAGATGAAATCCAATAAGCTTCTATTGTTTTCATGGAAAAAAGAAAAAAATATGCAGACATTTTCGGGATAAGGTCTGGATAACGATGGAATAAGTAACATGAGATAGGTAAAAAAAACATGACAAAAAAGAAAATGAAACAAGGCACATTTCGGCAAAAAGCCTTCTTCAGCAAACAAAATACAAGTGAACAACAAAATACCAAGATGGCAGCCAGGGTGGTGCTGAAGAATAAACTAATACACACATTCACAATGCCGACAAAACATGGCATAAATGTCATGGCATCTTATCCTTAACTTGCTAACTCTTCCTCCACCCCCTTTCTTGGTTACAGCCCATAATCATGTACTTCTTTTTCTTTCTCTATTTACTTCTAAAACATGCATAGTTCATTACCAGGTCACAGATGGGTTTTTTTAAACCCTCCACAGCATCAGATAAGTTATTTCATTTTTTTAAATTAAAAATGCTATAAAGTAAAGAAAGTAAAGAAAAATGTGTCAAGAAAAAGCATCAAAATGAATTAAAGGATATACTTTGAAGCAAAATAGTACTTTTTTTAGAAGGTTTTATAATCTTTGTTCATTTTTCACTCATGCACAGTCACCCTTTTCAAACTAATATATGAAAATTCACAAGAATGATGATAGACTTATAGTTATATTACACAAAGAATATTTGAGAAAGTATATAAATAAGTTTAATCAAACATTTTTTAATATATTTGTATCGTATGTATTGTGTATGTGTATATGTTATGTTAGGTTAAACACAATTTGAAATATCAAACATGTAAAATTTATAATTATTAGTTGAAATTCAATACACAGAATTACAAGTTTCAATTAATAAGTAAGTCACAGTTACTTAGAATTAAAGATTGGTAATGAAAAATGTATGATATGAAAGGAGAAACAAAGAGGCCACACCATTCCTTCAAAAGCCAACCCCCAAGTTTTGGCAGAGAAAAGCCTGAAAAGTGTGTTAACAGCTCATGAACTGACCCAATGCAATAAAATGCTGGTAGAAGCAATATGGTAGTAAGATAATTTTTTTTTTAAACTTTTAAAATCAGTTATTGTGTAATTAAAAATACTTAAAAACTAATAAACGTTCAGAAATATGTGTAAAACATATACTCGCATCATGTGTCTGTGCTAATCATACTGAACATTTCCAAAAAATTGCAAATATGAGCACTACTAGTTTTGCACATCCCACTTATTCCCCTGAAAATTTACCCCTATAAAATCAAACGAGTACCTACGGTATACATGCAAAAGATTTTGTATTAATTAACATACAAAAATGCAAGCGTGCACCTATTTTTGGCCTGACTAGTGACCCATGCAGTAGAGTTAACAGATGGAATAATTAGTTAATTATCAGTGAATATTTTTAATTGACAATGATAATGCTAAGCTCTTGCCCAAGCTCCAGTACTAGTACCAAAAATTTAATAATTAATAATTAAGTTTTAGCATAACATAAATTATAATTAATAGGCAGCAATGTCTTAACCCTCTTGGGGCAGCTGTCGAATAGTGAAAAAGACGAAAGGTCGATCTATTGGCCTGATAATTCAAGCCTTGAGATTGGCTGGCTGGTCTTTGTATCTGCTAATCAGATTGCTTCTTTTATTTCTTGTTCATCTCACCATTTTAATGGTGGCTTCCATTTATATTTTACTGGGTTTTGTCATTTTATATCAATTTTTTTAAAAATCTAGTGACCCCTAAAAATGCTTTAAAAATATGTGACTTTGAAATATGTCAAAAGGCATAAGCAGCCCCAATGTTGAGATTTCAGTTTGATTCATAAATTCATTTAATAAATTTAATTTCATACAGGAATATATACAGTATTGTATTTGTAAATTAATTGTTTTGTTATTTTCTAAATTTTTGCAATATGAGTGTCGAGCTTTTAAGAAGGGCTCCGTCTTCCTGGCTCTGACACTCCAAAAAGTTCTGTCTCAAAATGGTTATTGATTAATAAAACATGAACACTGTTGACACATAATATAAAAAAAATCAAATTTAATAATGTTTAAGTTGAGCACCGAACACACCCAACAGTGAACAGACAATGAGTAATGCAAACAAATTAGTCAAATATAAATATAATTCTTCTCTCTCTCAATATTATATAAGCCTACCCTAGGCCTATAAAATATATAAATAATATTATATAGTAATATAGACTATATATAGACCTAGACTAGGCCTATAAAATATATATAGTATAGTTATATAGGCCTAAGCTTACTATTACTATTATTACTAAGACTAAGGGGTACCCATAACGTATGTCACTGTCACGCTCAGGAGGTGGGGGGTCTAAGAAAGTGTGACTGGGGGGGGGGTAGAGATTATAAGTGACATTACATATTAATATATTTTTATCAGACATATAAAATCCGAAATTAATAATGATATACATTGTCAAAATAAGGGGTACCCATAACGTATGTCACTGTCACGCTCAGGAGGTGGGGGGTCTAAGAAAGTGTGACTGGGGGGGGGGGTAGAGATTATAAGTGACATTACATATTAATATATTTTTATCAGACATATAAAATCCGAAATTAATAATGATATACATTGTCAAAAATAGTGTGACCTACTTTATGGACTGGGCCTTGCCTTATAATAATATGCCTAATTCAAGGTTAATAATAATACTTGACATAGTGAATAAATGGGATAGGGTGCGTAAATAGTTAATTATTAATATTACGCTTCACTCTCTTGACGCTTATTGGTTAGTTTGGTAGTAGGTACACATGACGAACACGGATCAGTCATTGACTGAGTCTTTAACTTTAAGTGAGTCATTTTTATTTTGTACCTCCTGGTTCTGCAAGTTACATTATAATGGAGTAAAAAATATAATAAAAACTCATTCAAATAGATATGGAATTCGGACAAAAGAAAAACATGTCATTTATTTAATTGAAATGAATTGGTTTTTATTTTTTAATTTACCTTGTTCGATGTTTAAGTTCTTAAATGTAAAGTGTTGTGCCCGTAAAATCTGACATCACAGCTGACTCTGTGATTGTCAGGGTCGTTCACCTGAATGCCCTGGTCACATTTGCAACTTACGGCCAAAAACAAACAAAAAAACCCACCAAATTATTGACGTTACCCTGTCATAATCAAATCATTTCATAAGCTATTAATTGATTTAAAAAATTACTTCTTATTATTAGAATATTAGGTAATTAAAATATTCAAAGTTAACTTTACCCTTTCTTTTAAACGTACAATTGAAAAATAGAATTTCTTGCATCAAAAAGAAATTGCTGAGTCATTTATTTATGTTTATAGATTAAGCATTTATTTTGCTGATATTGCGTACGCATCGTTCACAAATGTAAATCACTATATTACTAAAAAAAAAAAAAAAAAAAAACTCAGAATATGATATTTCTTAAAAAAAAAAAAAAAAAAAAAAAACTCAGAATATGTTATTTCTTTAAGAAACAAAAATCCCCAATGGTTTTTGTTAAATCATCGGAAGGTTAATTTTCCCGTTTCGTCTCTTGTAATTACTCGGAGAAAGAAAACGAGTAAAACGGTACGAAATGAAATTGCTGTGGCTGTAGGCCTAATATACGGTTTTGTAACACTGTATTGGTATATAAATATTCATTTTGCTGGTTTATCTTGATTTTTAAAAAAATAATAGTAAATATTTTTTTTCAGTTAAAGTTTGCCTTCGAGCACTCTTTTAATTACCATAAGAAAGTTTTTTCATAATATTTTTATCACATTGACATAGACCTATTCCATAATGCATGCAAATTGCCTTTACTCGTTATTATTCAGGATTTGTTTGAGCCGTGTCCAATGAAACACCAGGCGTATATCTAGGCGAAGTAGTGATATATTGTTCAAGTTTGGATGAAATCGTTGAATCTTAACGAAAAATCCTGCACTGACAATGCTGTAAGTCAGCATCCAATGAAACTGATGGATGTATGGTCCTTGGTGCAACTTATTTTATCCAGGATGGTTCGTTTGGCACTCTAATGAACTATGTGGTTGACTCATACACATACATAAATTAAATATTTATTAAGGATGGGTATAAGGGTACGCCTGCCAATATGCAGTGTCAAGGGTTACAGTAGTTTAAACCTTAAGTAAAGTAGCTTCAAACCAGTGGCGGCTTATGTTGAATAGCACTATTCAACAGCCAGCAACTCGTTTTTTTACTCAAAATTTCATTTTAAAAAATACAGTGCAATGTTTTTTTTTCTTTCTTTAATACTTGTGCATAGTATTTAATCATATGATAAATACCGGGGTAATTCACAATGTCAGTGGTCATCGGCATTCATTTCATTAAGAAAGAAAAAACTACTTAAACAATATCTATAAACAATGTTTTTCGTATAAAGCCTATAAATGTATTTTTGTTTGCATTTACCCGGTATGCAATTGTACGTATTGTATCATAAATGTTATTGGAGCAACTGATTTTTGGAATGGGGATGGTTTGAATCCAACTTGCTGCATGTAATACATCAACAGACTAAAGCTATATTTAAACCAAAATACGTCACAAATACAAAGCACACAGCAACAGCTACACAATTAATCCCCCCACCAAAACAAAACCCAATTGAACACATCAGAGTTCATTCATCTTTCCCCTTGAACAACAGGAAAATCTTATTTTTGGAAGTTGGGGCTGAAACTTTGAAAGTATTTGTTGTCATCGGGAACGAATCCACGTGAATGCCATGTGCTAAGTTTCAGCTCGATATGTTGATGGGAAGTGGTCCACCACCCTCTTAATGAACTACGCCTTCGATAACAGCTCTTCAATTTCTTAAGGGAACTGAAAAACAAAAGTCAGTATATTTTCTAATGTTTTTTTTTTTTGTGTCTGTGTCATTAATTTTTATCCCCCCCCCCCTCCAACCCTTTTTCTTTTTTAAACGGTTTACCCCCCTGTTTATTTTTTTTTTTGTTAGGGGAACTGAAAAAAAAAAGTTAGTTTTTTTTCTAATGTTTTTTTTTTTTGTGTCTGTGTCATTAATTTTTATCCCCCCCCCCCTCCAACCCTTTTTCTTGTTTAAAAGGTATACGCCACTGTTTAACTATAGTACCGGTGTCTCATTCGATCGTTGGAAGTCGCTGCTTAGTTAGACTTAACTGTTCCAGTTATTTGTCCAATAGAAGGGTCATTAACTGTCCCAGGTACTCATCAAATAGACCGTGTTATTGACAAAGGTGTCTTTCCCCAAGTGCTGTACAGGGCGAATCATTGATAGGGGCACGCATGAGGGTCGTGAGAGATTCAAAATTTAATAGAGTCCTATTTGAAGATCTGGGGGCGTGCCTCATTTGCAACCGTTTTTAAAGGCAACAATTTGAAACTTTACCAGAGTTTAGAAAGAGGGTGGTGGACACCGCATAGGTAACATTCACTGTTGGCCATTGGGGCACATAGGGGACACCACACACGTGACATCTATACTTGGTCATACGGGGAAAAGGGGGGGGGGGCTGGTCGACACCATCGGGTGCCTGGGATCTCGCCTTCTACCCATGACATTAAAAATTGAATCAAGAATCTCCAGCTTCTCCAAGTGGTAAAAGGAGGGGGGGGGAGCTTAAGTTAATTTTTTTTGTAAGAAAGTATCCCACTGGACCATCTTCTCTCTGTGTGGTCAAATGTGTCCAATTCTCTATAGGTCAGTTTCCAATAGCTGCGTCCACTGTCAAGGACGGTACTAGTTATGAAAGGACAACAAACACAATGTGATTTGATCTGCGTTGCTTGTACGGGAAGACAACTCGTTTATTTGAAGGCTTTTAATGAAACAATAAATACCCTAACATGGAAGGTTAGCGATCAAGAAACTGTTTTTGGTTATTCAAACACAATAATAATGGTGTATTCAAAACATCAACTGTATACAGCCATTGAACGGAACTAGCTACCACCAAAGCTTTTGTTAGTGTAAAACGTTGAACTACATAGGACCCAGTGTTAACATAGTATATAGAATATAGGACCAAGTCTTAACATAGTACATAGGACCCAGTGTTAACATAGTACATAGGACCCAGTGATAACATAGTACATAGGACCCAGTTTTAACATAGTACATAGGAACAGTGTTAACATAGTATATAGAATATAGAACCAAGTCTTAACATAGTACATAGGACCCAGTGTTAACATAGTACATAGGAACAGTGTTAACATAGTACATAGGACCCAGTGTTAACATAGTACATAGGACCCAGTTTTAACATAGTACATAGGACCCAGTGTTAACATAGTACATAGGACCCAGTGTTAACATAGTACATAGGAACAGTGTTAACATAGTACATAGGACCCAGTGTTAACATAGTACATAGGACCCAGTGTTAACATAGTACATAGGACCCAGTGTTAACATAGTACATAGGACCCAGTGTTAACATAGTACATAGGACCCAGTGTTAACATAGTACATATGACCCAGTGTTAACATAGTACATAGGATCCAGTGTTAACATGGTACATAGAATATAGGAACAAGTTTTAACATAGTACATAGGAACAGTGTTAACACAGTACATAAGACCAAATGTTAACACAGTACTTAGGACCAAGTATTAACATAGTACATAGGACCCAGTCACAGTGTTAACATAGCACACATGACCCAGTGTAGCACAGTACATAGGACCAAGTGTTAACATATCACATAGGACCCAGTGTTGACATAGTACATTGGACCCATTGTTAGCATAATACATATGACCCAGCATTAACATAGTACATATGACCCAGTGTTAACACAGTACATATGACCCAGTGTTAGCACAGTGCATAGGACCCATTGTTAGCACAGTGCATAGGACCCAGTGTTAGCACAGTGCATAGGACCCAGTGTTAGCACAGTGCATAGGACCCAGTGTTAAGATAGTACATTGGACTCAGTGTTAACATAGTAAATAGAATGAAATGTTAACATAGTACATAGGACAAAGTGTTGTAATAGTACATATGGTACAGTCCTCAAGTGTTAACATAGTACATAGGATCCAGAGTTAAATTACTAACATAGTACATAGTCTAAGTGCTAACATAGTACATATGACCAAGTGTTAACATAATACTTAGGACTAAAAGTGTTAAAATAGTAAATAGGACCAAGTGTTAAAATAGTATGGTACATAGGGTCAAGTGTTATAGTACACAGTACATAGAGCCAAGTCTTCACAAAGTAGTCCATATGAGTTTTAAACCCTAAAAAATTTGGAAAAAAAGTACCTCTTCAAAAGTAGAATGATTTTAGTATTTCTACTATTTGGTTTCATTTTCTATGACTAAGTTTAACAAAATACTACCATACTAGGTTTAACAATCTCTATGACTAATTTTAACAATCCCCACAATTCATGTCAGATATGGCAAAACTATCAGAGTAATCATTAATTGTACATAAGAACTACACATTACAAGTGAATAGGACCAAGAGAACGGAGTGTTACTGATGACAGTGTTACTGATGACATTGGTACTGATGACAGTGTTACTGATGACAGTGCTGTTGATGACAATGAATTGATAGCATCCCATTTTAATATTTCAAAGAAATTATTCAGATTTTTACTCATCATCAATGAAGGTTCTCCTAAAATATTTCAAATATTTTATATATTGTGACAAACTCTGTGTAAAAAAAAATATTGTGTTAAATGTTGTTTCAAATATTGTGTTAAATGTTGTTTCAAATATTGTTTCAAATATTGTGTTAAATGTTGTTTCAAATATTGTTTCAAATATTGTGTTAAATGTTGTTTCAAATATTGTGTTAAATGTTGTTTCAAATATTGTGTTAAATGTTGTTTCAAATATTGTGTTAAATGTTGTTTCAAATATTGTGTTAAATGTTGTTTCAAATGCTGTGTTAAATGTTCAGTTATGATTTGTATTAAGATAAATATTATATTTTTTTTTAAAATTTTTTAAAAGTTATGGGAGGGGGGGGGGGGGTTCATGAAAACCTACTTTCTTCAAGCATGTTAAGTTTTACCATTTTAAACTTTTTAATTTGACTTTTCAGACTTTTCTCCTCCAACAGAGATTTTTTATTTTTTATTTTTTTTTTTAAAATTTTTTAAAAGTTTGGGGGGGGGGGGGGGGGGTTCATGAAAACCTACTTTCTTCAAGCATGTTAAGTTTTACCATTTTAAACTTTTTAATTTGACTTTTCAGACTTTTCTCCTCCAACAGAGATTTGTTATTTTTTAAGTGAGACCAATGAAGGCAGAGAGTACAGAGGTAGAGAAATGAGATCCTGCAAACAAAATATGCAGAGATATTTTGGCATTGAGAAAAAATTCACCAAGGTCATTAAAAAAAACAATAATATTTAAAAACTAGTTGCTTCAAGTCTAAAATGAAACTATCTGTAAAATAATTTTTAATACTAATAGAAACTTACACTGAAAATAACTGTTATGATTGGCACATTGCTATCTTTAAGCCTTGGCATGCTTTTGGCCCTTACTGTAGCATCAATTAAAATATCTCAATTTTTTAGGTCTGTCCTTTGGCGCAATGTCTGACACTGTACCAACTATCTGCCACTGTACCAAATGTCTGCCTCTGTTCCAAGTGAGAGCTGGTCCCAATTGGTGCCTCCGAAGCTGTTGGTCAAATGACCAATTAAAATTTGTTTGCCAGTAAGGCAGCACTTCATTGTGAGGAGGTAAACTTGAGTAACAGCACTGAAGTTGACAGACAGCAGCCAACTTGGCATGGGATTTCAAGCTTTACTCTTAGCAGCCAACTTAGCATGGGATTTCAAGCTTTACTCTTAGCAGCCAACTTGGCATGGGATTTCAAGCTTTACTCTTAGCAGCCAACTTGGCATGGGATTTCAAGCTTTACTCTTAGCAGTTAATTTACAGCTGCTGGTATAATAAATCCCAGTGACTTAAATGAGTCGGGATGGTTCTTC